GCTTCTCTGGTCTTGGGGGCTGAATTGGAGGGGGGGGGCAGAAAAGAGCAAAAGCTGTTGTGAGGCTGCAGTGGGGTTGGGGAAGGGTCACCCACTTGCTCTGGCCCAATGAGGTTCATGTCGGGGGGGGGGGTGATACACACACACCCCGAGGTGGCCTCCAGACCCGCCCATGTGCCTCAGCTGCCCCCACATGGATTTACACCCCTGCACCCCCTAATGTGCCTCTGACCCCTCACTTTCCACAGATGCAACCCCACAAGTGTCTGCCCCCCCGCAAAGCGCCCTGCTCCCAAACGCCAATGTGTGTCTGCCCCATCCCATTCCTACCCCCCACCCCGGGCTCTGGCTCCCCCCTCTCCTCTCAGAGGCGGATCCTGAGGGCCTGGTCTCCCCTCCAGTCTATGGGACTTCCCCCCACAAGCACAACAAGTGAAAGGGACCTGGCCCTGCTCCCCCCTCGCGCTCTGCCGGCTCCCGCTCAGCCTGGGTTGAGTGCGGTGCCATGAGGCTCGTGGAGGGCCAGTCCTAAAGGCGCCCGGTTTATTGACCCTCTGTTTAAAAAGGTTTTGCCTTGTTTCCATGCTCTGGCCTTTGGGGCTAGCCTGGAGCTGCTGCTCCTTTCTCACCTCTTTCATTTGGCCCTCAGAGGGCTCATTCCACTCTGGACCCCCGCCCACCCTCCAAGTGAAGGCGCCTTACAGTGCCCCGTGGAGGGGGTTAAGGCTTGGTTTGCATGAGGGTGATGTGGTGCCCGCACTGGGTATGGGCTACGCTGGAATTAGAAACCTGTGGCAGGCCCATGCCAGCTGCTTCAGGCTCACGGGGCTCCGGCTAAGGGGCTGTTGAATGGTGGCATAGATCTCTAGGGCCCTTGCAAGGTCCAGAGCCCGGGCTGAAGCCCGCGCCCAAACGTCTACATTGCAATTAAACAATTACCCTTAACCCAGGTAAGCTGGCGTGGGCCAGCCCTGGGGTTTCGATGGCCACGTAGACACGCACACCAAGGTGTCCAAGCCACAACTGCCTTTCAGAAATGGGCTGGCATCACAAAGGCCACACCAAGACTCGGCTGCGTAGCCAAGCTCTGGTGTGCTGGCCCATCGGGTGGGGACAGCTAGCAGAGTAGTTCCCTACAGCGCTTAGGCTAGGTGGAAATGGACAATGAGGCTCCTACCCCTTCCCTTAGGAGACTGCCTTGCCATGGCAGATCCTAGCTGAGAACAAATTGCTCAGCTGCCCCGTTGGACAGTTGCTGTTTGCTCCTAAGTCATTGGGCACCCTCCTTCCGTGTTTCCAGCCTTTCCGCTATTTCTGGGGTGTTGGGGGTCCCCAAAAGCACCGTGCACTGAGCGGCCCCTCCCATCTTAACCTCTATCGCTCCCAGCCCCTGCGTCACGCAGCCTACCTGCCAGAGGAGCAGGAGTCCCTGGCCACATGCCTCACGAGCTAGGCAGGCCCTTGCCCGGGTTTCTTGTAGGGTTAGCATGGCGTGGCTCCCCGCAGGGCCAACCAGCCCTGCCCCAGCTTGCAGTCACTAGGGAACGGCGTGTATTTACCAATAAACAGCCCCCTAAATACGCTGTTTATGCCAAATATAGTTGAGTGCGAGGCGAGGGTATTTTTAGCCCTCCGGGGGGATGCTAAGTGCCTCGGCGCGGGAGTGGGGAAGTGGAAGCAGCCAGCGCTTTGGCTGACATTTATCTTATCATTAACCTCAATCCATTCCGGGAGCCCATTTCTTGCCCATCGCTCTGCAGCATGCCGGGAGGAAGCAGGACCAGACAGCCAGGGGAGGCAGCTAGGAAGCCTGCTGCCCGTTACGGCAGCTGGTTATGGAGCAGCAGCTTGCTGATAGTGCCATTCACCAAGCAGGGCAGGGACCTGTTCAGGGAGGCGCTAGACATGGGATAACTAATGGGCCAGCTGGGGCAAATCAGCTGGGAGAACGGTCCGTGCTGGCCTGTGGCCTGGGAATAAAGGCATAACTAGGGGGGCTGTGCAAAGACGGGACACGCCGCTTCACGGAGGCTGGCGCGATTTCACAATTTGTTTTCATTCCCATGAGGAACGAAACCTGCCCATTCTGAAATCATGAAATCATAGAATCTCAGGGTTGGAAGGGACCTCAGGAGGTCATCTAGTTCAACCCCCTGCTCAAAGCAGGACCAATCCCCAATTTTTGCCCCAGATCCCTAAATGGTCCCCTTAAGGATTGAACTCACATCCCTGGGTTTAGCAGGCCAATGCTCAAACCACTGAGCTGTCCCTCCTCCGCAATGATCCACAGAAGGAAATTCCAAAAAAAGAGAATTGTTTTGGGGGAGGGGAGGAACTGGCTCAACCTGGTTCATTTCGATGTTGGCTGTTCCTTTTATAATTGGTACAATTAAAAAAAAAATCAAAGCGAAACCTCATTTTGCAAGGGTAACATTGAACGGTGTCGTTCCAACACTGGGACTTTTCATGGTGGTGGAGCTTTTCCCCTTTTGGTTCTTCCAAACAAAATTGCAGCGAAATCGACCCGGTTTCACGGAGCGTTTCAATGTTGACATCTCTCCCTTGGAAAGCTGATCTGCTGATGTTCTTCTGACCAGCGCCAATCATTAGGGTTAAAGGGACGGCGGTGGCAGGCTGCAGATGACGACGGCCCTTGGAAACCCCTATGTAATGTCCTGGAAAGAGCCTCTCTGTGTTCGCAACCAGAACTTTGGAGCAACCCCAGTAGACTCTCCTGCATTCCCCCACCGGCAGGTTTGACTTGAGATCCAGCAGCTGTTAGGGAGGGGTAATTGGTCTATAGAGACCTTGGGCAAGCAGGGCTGGCTCTAGGTTTTTTGCCAACCCCAAGCAAAAAATTTGCCACCCCATGTTCCGAGAGCGCCAAAAAAAAAGGGTAGCCGGAAAGCCGCCCCTGGAATTGTGCCGTCCCGAGCACGTGCATGCTTTGCTGGTGCCGAGAGCCGGTCCTGTGGGCAAGGAGGATTATATTTATCAGAAGCGGCAAGTCCTTTCCCTTCATGTGTTAGTTCCAGGCTGTAGTGCCCTGAGACATGGCATTTCCTTGATCCTCGAGTAGCACGGCATTCATGTTGTGGGCTTGCGGAGTGGATTCTCTATAAGCAATCAGAGGCCATAATGGTTGCTCTTTCAGACAGGCTGCTTTCCTCAGGGGTCTCCTATCAGACGAACGTCTCACCGCTCAACCGCACCCGCTGCCCCCATCTCCCGAAGCATGCATTAGCCCCAACCGCGGAGGAGATGGAGCGGAAAGGGCCTCCAGTTGAATGATTAGCACCACGAGCAGCCAGCAGCATGGGCTGGACTATGTAGTGACCCCTCACCGTCCTTTCTCCTGTGCCATCCACCAACCTCTTCCATCAGAGCAGCCTCCTCCTCACAGGAACGGGACAGGGCATGTGCCTTGCTGGTGGGACTCGGTGATCGAACCTGTGACCTTGCACGGCTCGGTCCCAGGTTCAACTGAAACCCGTTGCCCTCAGTGATGGTTTGGTGGCCTCTTGTGTAACGGGGGCTGGACATTGGGACCTATCTGAGACACACCAGCTCAGCTCTCACGTTGAGGGCTCCGGCGTGCAGGCTCCTCGGAGAACGCCAGAGGGGAACGGACTCGGGGGCTACGTCTGAAGGGAGCTCCGCCCAAGGAAAGGTGCGAGGGCTTTTCCAGGGGGTGGCAAGAGGCCCTGCCCACTGCCGCTGCTGGTCTTCTGCAGAGAAACAGGAGATTCTGCTCTCCCAAGCTGGCAACCCAGTTCCTCCCCCCCAGAACTGAAGCCACTTCACTTAAAAGTGGGTGCTCTGCATCTGCACGTTCCTGCAGAGGGAACCTAGGAGGTGCGATTTGAAATCCACAGGCAGAACGCCACGCAGGCTGGCGTGCAGACAGGGTGGTGTGCTATGGTCCTGCCTCAGCGCAGACGCTGCTGGAGGGGGGCGGGGGGAGACTAACAGGAAATGAAACAATGGCAAAGATAAGGTCTACCCAGCAGTCCTGGAGGATACAGCAGGGAAACTAGTAAATGGGGGGATACCCCTGGCTGGGCTCCCGCTCGTCTGCTGAGGTGTAGTTCCCCAGGCCATACCCTAGGATCAAAGGGTGCAGCGAAATCTTAAGGCGCCAGCCTAGGCTGACGGGCGCAGAGAGAGACAGACGCTGCAGCAGGGAAGTCTGCTACACCCTGTCCCACAGCATCCATAGTGCTTGCGGGGGCTGAGGCCAAGCTCCTCAGAGGTATTTAGGCTTCTAACTCCCATGGGTCTCAATTGAATGCCCTTGAGGGTCTGGGCCTTAATGGCCGCAGGGCCCAGCAGGGAAGCTTCACGGCAGGTACAGAGCATGGGCAGCTCCTTCCAGTTCTCCTCCACCTTTTCCTTCTGGTTGGCCCTGGCTGCGGAGAGGGGAAATGGGGGAACATCCAGCAGGGGCAGTGAGTCAGGAAGGGTCAAAGCCGAGTGGGAAGGTGCAGCTAGCAAGGGCATGCGGAAAGGGAAGGTGGAGAGGGTGGCCACGCTGCCTTGTGGGGAGAAGGATGGCTGCTATCAAAGGTAGGAGGCAGGGTTATGTGGAAACTTCGGGGGAGTGTAGGCAAAGTGTGTGCTTGGGGGTAGCGGGGGGCAGCAGCCGTGGGAGTCACTTTGAGGGCTCGGTCAAACATCATGGCATTAGTTTACGTGCAGTATGTTATTTAGCCACCAGATGCCGCTGTGAGCTGAAGGATTCCAGGCAGGGTGATGTCCCTGGTAAACAAAGTGAGACCATGCTGGAAGTCAAGCTGCGCAAGGGACTGTTTGTTTCTGTCGGTAGTTGTAGCCGTTTTCTTTAAACGACGTCGCCTGTTTAACAGGGCCCATGGATCATGGATCATCACATCCCCGTGCACCCGCCCTCAATCATCAAGCCCATGGCACCACGTTTGCACCTAGGAAGGGGAGAAGCAACTCAGGCAGGAGCAAATACAGTCACCATATAGATTTCCCTGTGCAAAAAGAACAGAGCATTTATTCCTGCACTCCCTTAAAATTTCGAGATACAATTCCAGCAATCCAGACACCGCGCTGGCATTCCAAGCAACAGTATATTATAGATAATTGATTCTTTTATCACTTATAAAGCCATACAATGAACTGCAAAGAATCAGTCCTCTGTACAAAGGAGAGGGAAAAGGCTAGGGAAGGGGTGTAGTGCGCATTCACACATGGACAATGAGTAACACAGGTCGCCTTTATACAAGTGACAAAGTTATGGGCACAAAGATGAAAAATATAAAGTATATTTCCATCGATATAAATACACTGAAATGGGAAATTCTGGTTTTCCTCTTTTGTGTTTCTTACATTTTTTTGAAAAAACGGACATGATGCAAACTGAAGGTAAGTTATTTTAAACTGCTCGTTAACACTGATTAGCAAATACATTTGTAACATTCCCAAATCGACAATGGTAGCAACACAACAGCAAATGAAATGTTGAAAAAAAGAGTGATTTTGCAAAACAAAAAAATACCAGCCCACTTTGCTGCACGATTTTCCTGTCGGTTTGATTAGCAGGTTTTTGACATCTGGATTATTTATGAGACTGAGGGTTTTTTTAAAATAATACTTTGCACACCTGCAGTGCCTTTTAAAGGAGGCACTCAATGTGCTTTACAAACATTAACCACAAGGATTTAGGATCTGCACCAGTAGAGGGAGTTTTGTCCTTGATTTCAGTGCAAGCAGGATCAGCCTCAAACCCCGGTATGGGGGAAGGTGTTATGTGAGTCAGTGCCAAATCTGGCCCCATTATGTGGATGAACTGGGGGGGTGGGAGGGCACGAGGCTTGTGTTATAGTGATTTCTCTTGTTGTATGTGTGTAGTTCCTGTTTGCATTACCAGATTCGGGTGCGGGGAAGGAACAGACTGGAAAGACATTAACCAGTGCAGGGCAAATCTCTAAACTGGTTTGGTTCCGATAAGATCCTAAAAAATCAATTCCTTCACCCAAGCCTTGTTAAGCTGAAAAACCGGACTTGGGAACCTCACAAGAATGGGCTGTGTCAACAGGTTCTGGGAGACGCAGCTGCAGTGCAGTGAGAGGAGCTTTTCTGCTGGCAGCTCCAATCCCAGTTACAGCCAGGAAAGAGGGCCACATGGAAACGGGATGCAGTGAGGCAGGGTCTGCGTTTATTGAAACTCAGAAATGGTTCAGTTCCAGGAATGGATGCTGGCTCAAACAGATTCTGTTTTTATATCAACCTCTACAAGAGCTCCAGGAGAGATCGCAAAGCCTAGATCCAGTGTTTTGATACTGGGTTATTCAATGCCGGTGTACTGATCAACACGATTATGGCCAATAACACACCCTGGATGAAGGGCCAAAGTTGTCTAAAGTTTGGAACATTGTTGGTTAGCCAGTTGCTAAAAAGGGAGGTAGGACCAATTTGGATCCAATCCCATGAAAGGGCGTTTGGACTGAAGGATGACAATGCGCTTAGTGGATGTTTGTATATTTAAGATTCTGAGTCAAAGCTCGTAAGTCAATGGGAAGACGCCCATTTACTTTAACGGCTTTTGGATCAGAACGCCAAAGACATTTCTATTTCCCTTTCTGGGGGACGTGGGGAGGAAGTTTATTGAGCAGTAAGATATGGAGGAGACATAAATAGCAGTTTGGTTGAAATGCCACCAGACACAAGCAACTACAGCATGTTGCTTTGTCTCCGGGGTTCTTTTCCGAAGAAGGGGTTTGAGAAGGGAAGGCCAGGAGAAGCGTGAGAAGAATTGACTGACCTGCTGTCCTCATCACTCAGTCTGCGACTAAAGAAATCAGGATATCTTGTGTCAACTATTTTAAGAATCTCCGACTCTACTGGAACACAGAGTTACATAAAATTAACATCAGCCAGCCGCTCCGGGAATCAGAGTTTACTGATACACACAACAAAATCGACAGCAAAGGGGTCCTTGGGGGGGAGGGGAAAAGAGCACATACAATCAATTTACAAAACAAAACTGGCTGGGAAAAGTGCATTTTAAAGGCTATCTTTGGCAAGAATATATGCAGTTCCTTGTGCAGGGAGTAGGTGTGAGTGTCTGCGTGTGTGAGAGATATAACATCCGCTGCTGAAAAAAACGGCAGTGTGATTATTAGGATACATCTGCTGGAATAAATTGCATCAGCATTAATCTCAAATACTGTGACTGCATTTTTAAAACACAAAGAATCTTCTCGGTCCCTTTAGGAAAGAAAAATTTAAACCTTGGCCGGTAAAGCCAGGTTTTTGCCTGGCTTAGCAGCTTCACAGATATCAGTGGAACGGCTCCGATTTACACAAGCTGATGGTCTGTCTCGGGAAATCAGGGATGACAGAAAGAAGTTACCCAAAAAATGTACTTTAAAAAAAAAAATAGCTCTTCAATTGAAGCTGGAAAACGCCTGCCTATGTCATTTGCAAGATGATTAGCTTTGTGTTAAAAATATAATCAATGGTGATTTTAGCGTTAGAGATTCTGACCCCGTCTAAATCTTTCGTCTTCAGCTCGTGAGTTAGCAATGAGCCGTTGCCGGCCACGGCTGGAAGCAAGGGTTCGGTTGTTATTGGGGATCTGCTGTGATTGCTTTATAGATGAGATTGCTAGATGCCTTAATACGGGTTCATTTTATGGGGGGAAAATATGCATTTAAGGCTCAAGCCCCAATTCCCGGGGCAGGACAGCAGATTAAAACAAAAATAATAAAATTAGCTTTAGCTGTGAGAAAAATGAAGTCTGAAAAATAGAGACTTTCAAAAAATATACCTTTATATATTTAAATATCTATAAACACAGTGTTTGTCTAATTGGTTAATGGCAGGGTGAGAAGGTTACAAGTGAGGGGGTTCCTCGTGCTTGAATTTTGCAGAAGGAGGGAATTTCTTTTTAACAACTTAAAATAAAAATATCTCAACGTGCTATACGACAGGGTGGGCTGGAACACAGGGCCCTGGTGGACGTCGTAAAGTGACCCCTCCCACCCCATCCCAGTACCAGTCTCCCAACACCTCCCTGACTCAAATCTAACCCTCCTACGGTATCCAGAAACGAAAGAGCCCTCCACACGCTCACGCAGCTGTGGCCCTCACACACACACAGTCGCACACATCCGCGCATGCCGCCAACCCTTGCGTCACTTGGCAACGGTTTCAAACTCACACGCCTCACATGCTAATTTGCTCCAGGCGCTAGCAAATGTCCATGTTCAACAGGGAAAGGGGGCAGGGGTTAGAGGTGGGGGACCAATCATACGCATTGCACCTTGGGGGCAGTCTAAAGGGTGTCTAAAGGGACACTGCACTCTCTTGGATCCTTGCCCATGTCACTAGTATAACCGAAATAAACCATGTTTGTCTGTTACACTCTATTATGAGTTATACGTACAAGAGTCTATATGGGGATGGGGGGTGGGGGGCCGTATATAAGGGAGGAGGGTAAGATACACAGAAAGCAATATGGCAAAAAAATAAATATTTTTGTGTAAATTTAACCCCTTTTAAAAATTTGATTAGCTTACAGTATTTTTCAGTATATTTCATATATATATTATATATATCAGGACACTGCCTCTGTATGAGAGAGCAGAGTGCTCTGGGGGAATCCAGGTGGTTGCAATATTTTAGCTGGTTTATAGTTCTCCCGTGTTTTTTGGTTTTATTAACAGACAGCCTGTATCACATAACCTTGCACTGAAATGTGGCACAAACAAGGAAAGGCCTATCTCTCCTGCTTCCTGATTTCCCCCTCCCCTAACACCTCTGACCATATCTGAGTGATTCAAGCTGGTTACGGTTTTCCGAAAGCCCCAGAAAGGTGCTTGGGAGGTTGGCTGTTAATGCAAATTTGTAGGGTTCCCCAGAGCTGGGCGGAAGCTGAAGATCAGATCTGGGTTTGGAACGCCTCCAGAAGTGGGGAGTGTTTGGGCCGGGGGGCTGTTCATAGCTTGGGTCTCAGCTCTAGCTTGAACTAAGCATTAAAAAAAGAAAAATGGACCCATAAGATTTACCACACAGGAAGAACGTGTTGGCCCGTCCAATCTGCTATCCTGCCACAGGGATTGGCCAATATCAGCTGTGTCAGAGGAAGGGGTAAAACCTGCATTATTTTACCTGGCCATTCCCCAGGGAGAACGAAAAACATCTCTTAACTTCCTGGACTGTCCTCTGGTGGCTCCTATCTCAGCCGAGCTACACGGAGCCAGATATTAACCACAGATCGTCCCATGGGGCCCAGTGTGGAGTCAGAGAGAGGACACGAGCCCTGTATCTGTGGGCAATGCACGTTTTTTGCCGCACCATCTTGTTCCCTATGGAAAGGCCCAAGCAGAGAGGAGATCGTGCAGGGATTTGCAAGGCTGGGAACTTTGCCTCATCTATCCACATTTGCAACACTAGTCGATATCTCTTGTGAGTTAGCATTTCAGTGCAAAGTCTGGGGCCTATGACCTTCTGAAGCAAAAGCAAAGCTTACGCCTACTGGGTTGTTACTAAACTACAATACATTCAGCACTCCAAGCCTCCACAGGGCAGAGCATCTGAGAACGAAATTCGGCCATGAGATCTCTTGGCTTTTGGATCAGCTGAGAGGATCATGCAGAGCCAAAGCTGCCCACAGACTGCAGGGTCTTTTCTTTTAGTGGCCTCCAAAAATGCCTGAGTTTGCTTTATACTTATTTGCCTTTCGTGCAACCAAATGTCCATGCAATGAACAAATCGCCTGTACGTCTACAGAAGGAGTAGAGACCAGGCTCGACCAGACCTGTGTCCGCTTCCGGTATGTTAGTTTTTAAGAGAACATGTGACAGTCTGCAGGTGAAAATACAGGGTAAAGTATGGTACTGCAGGTCCAGTATATATATATATGGTATATAGCCCAGAAGATCTTTCCGGTGAAGATGATCTTTGGAAAGCATGCTCCTGAATGCAGTTAGTGAAGGCAACCTGCTAAACAACTCTGTGTGTGTGTAAGAACTGCCTAGTGTGTATGCATCACCACCGCCCTGTACTGGATGGAATCAGAACTGCTCACCTGTGTGTCATAGATCCCATACTGCTAACCTTGCATCCCCTTTCGCTCAAGTGGCCTAGGTCCTGTGCTTTTTGGAGCAGGAGGATCTGAGTTCTCTCCCTTCTGCTGCCAGGAAATCCTGACGGGCTGTGGCGTGCAGTACAGAGACCAAAGGGAGTTGCTCGGGGGCTACAGGCTTATATATAAACCCCACCGCTGTGAATATACATGTATGACACATCCCCACACTCACTTCATATACGCAGGAGTGGCAGACCTCAGAGCAGGGAAGGTTAAAAGGGATATTGACCATCCTTTGTTTTCCTGCTTGATCACTCGAGCACAGCGGTTTTCAACCTGTTTTCATTTGCGGACCCCTAAAAAATTTCAAATGAAGGTGCGGACCCCTTTGGAAATCTTAGACATAGTCTGTGGACCCCTCCCCCTTTCGCCCCGGGGTCTGCGGAGCACAGGTAGAAAACCACTGTTCTAGCACATAGGTCATGAGGCCAGAATGGACCACTGAGATCTAGTCTGACCTCTTGTGTAACACAGGCCAGAGATCTGCCCTGAATTCATTCCTGTTTGAACCAGAGCAGATCTCTTAGCAAAACATCTCATCTTGATTTGAAAATTGCCAGTGATGGAGAAAGCCCACCACAGCCCCTGGTAAGCTGTTTCAATGGGTAATTCCCCGGGGGCGGGGGGTGGGCGGGGGTGGTCCTGCAGACCTGCCTTTCATTCGATTAGTTAGACATGGGCGTTGTTTAAAACAAACGACTGACATTTGCAAACAGAGTTGTTGGTTTTCAAACGGCAGGGCCGCGAACGTTCCCACTTTGACCCGGGGTGAATTCGCCACTTGAAACCTCCCGCGGGGACGCTGATCCAAAAGCCAACCCAGTTCCACTCCTCCGACTCCTGGCCGTTGCGCTGGTCGCATTCCCTGCGTGGGGAAATGCGCTGACATCGCTTCCTTTAGTTTTGTTTTGTTACGCTTGGGTGAGGGTTTTTTTTCTTCCACAATTCAGACCGTTTCCCCCCGATTCACTTCCCTCTCCCACAATGCACTTCCTCGCGCTCCTTCTCGGATCAACTCCAAGTCCTTCTCCAAAATTCAAGGGCAAGAACTACCCGTGTCCAGCGGCTCATCTCTTCTGGCCGGAGCCAAGCATGACCCTTGACACGAAATTGACAATGGCGGTGGCCGGCTGGTCAGGATCCAGCTCGGCGAAGAGGTGACAAATGTTGTCCGTTGTGCTTCCCTGCTTCCTGGCCACAAAGCCAAAGAGCCTGTTGGGTCACAAAGAGAGAATGCACATGAGAGAGCTGCAAGGAAGCAGAGATCATGAGACAACAGCATATATCTAGCAACGGGATATGGCTCGCCGGGGCAAGTGAAGGGATGGGGCAGCCCACATTAGAACATCTGGCCCATCTGGATGACAAGCCGCTAAACCACCCCCCCAACTGGTGAGCCAACGTCCCAGCCTACACTTGATCACCCGCGGGAGAGAACTGATGGCCGCTGCTCAGGATACGTGGACCATGCTTTGCACGGCAGTGGGGAACACACCCGAGCTGGTTCGGCACACGCATCCTCAGGGCCCATTCCGCTTCCACTGGTGCTGATAGAGTTTTTCCCGTCGACTCATGGAGATCAGGCCTCAGTGGGAACATTTCCTTGCCTTCAGGCTGAGAAGTTCAAAGCCATCTGAAGGATTGGGTGCTCTACTCCCATTGGAATGAATGGGAAAGGGGGTCTATATCGCAGCCCACGTGTCTATCAATTCTTATGCAGGGCAGCGTGAGTCAGGAGTAAATCGGTGTCCAGAAGATCAGCGACACCACTGGCACAATTCAAATCCAATTCGGTTCAAATGGGGCCGGGGACATCGTCTGGGAAGCGGCTGTTGGGAAGGGGTAACACCCACGTGCTGAACGAGGCCTCAGAGCAACCTGCAGGACCCTGCATCGATAGCTTCTTAAGCAGCATGCTCCTGGGACACCACAAAAGTGGGTTTGGGGTTGCGGGGCCCAGCCTGGACCCAGATCTGAACTTCCCCCAAGCCCTTGGTCTGGGGTTTTGGTTTGTGCACTGTAGCTGTCCCCAAAGGGACCCGAGTGGCCACAAGCCTGCCAGTGCGACTGTGTGAATCACTGACCATGGCTTCTCCTTTCCTTCTCCGTCCTCCAGCCTTGCCTTCTTCACTCTTCCTCCCCCTCTCAGTGCTGCTCACACTTCTCTCTTCCCCTCCACCAGCCACTCTCTGCCGGGGCCTTGTGAGCTCAGGCCAAATCCTCAAAGATGCTGAGCCACGGGCAACACCCCTGAAAGCCAAGGGGAGCTGCAGATGGCTCCTTCCCTCTGAGGACACCATTCATATGCATTGGTGCCCACCGTACCCATCGTCTCTTTAATGCCTGGGTGTGGCCTGTGCCAACCACCCATCTGAGGCAGGCTGCATTTCAAGGAGAAAAGGCGGGTGACGCCCTGATCCTAGCAGCGAGGCGGTGATGGGCATGCTCTGCTTGGCAAGACCCTTGGGCTTTTTTAAACGTGACTATTCCATGAAGCAGACCACAAAATAATCACGTCCAGATGCTTCAAAGGACAAGAATATTTATTCCCCAGGGGACATCTTGTTCTACGGCAACCCCAGACAGGCATTATCCTGGATGCGCACTGCACATTCAGAACCTTTCCCAGGGATCGAGGTGGTCGATCGTGCGTTTCTATGGTGATTCATCTCCCCATACATGGAAGGGGAAAGAAGGGTTTGTTAGTCTTGGAGGAGACGAGGGGCGGGAGGAGAAGGGGGATTGTCCGGCCCCGTTAAAATCTCCCTCCCCCTGTACAAACAAAATGTCCTTTTTAATTCCAACATTAAAAGCCAGGTTATAAATATGGGATTGGAGGGGAATAGAATGTTAGCCAGCTCCCTGCCAGGTCATTTCTAATTAGAGAGCGAAAAATCCTAACAGCTGGGGATACTAATTAAAAGCCCTTCGCTAACACAATGACTAAAATTAGTGGAGCTCACTCGAATGGGACTCAGCTGGCAGCTCCGTCCTCCTGTGGGCAACGTAGGGCAAAGGGCTAGTCAGCTTAGAAGTGGAAAGAGAAAAGCCAGATCCACACAGCTGCCCCTTCCCACTGCCCTCATTCGCTTGGGGACGTGTGACGCCGGCCAGGCCTGGAGGAGGCGAGGGGTCTTTGCGGCTACCTGCAGACCTGCCATTCACACTGATGCGAGCGGTCAGGGACTGCATTGTCTAGACAGTTTGGGATGGAGGAGACTTATTAAGCCTGGGCAGGGTCTGGGGCAGGAATGTTTCCTATAGACCAGCCTCTTCAGCCAAACAAAGCTCTTTTCCTTGCCTCTCCTCCCCCCAAGAAAATTTCCACCAAGGGACACATGCCAACGGGACCCCACACCTCGGGGCATGTCCCACTGGCCCCCCGCAGGGAAATGGTCTCTTCCTGCGGCCTTTGTTTTTGTTGTTGGTTATTACAGTCTCAGGCTACAGCGGGAAATGTTTCCCAGCTGCGACGGGCAGCATCTGGCTATCACAGAAGAACATGCAAACGCTGGGGGAACCAGATTTGGGTGCATCTGCCTGCTGGGGGATGATGATACTGCCTGCAGTCCCGCCCAGCTCCAGAGGGGGCACTGCCGAGTCAGCATGTGCCCTGCCTCCCCCCCCAGCACCCTGGAGAACAAGCTGAGCATGGCACTCAAAATGTCCTGTCACGCCTTCCGGCAGCTGCCTCTCCCCTGCTCCACCAAGGCCAGAGACAGGAGCTGCTCGCATGCACCGGACCCGTACCGGAAGGACAGAGCAAACTGTGATGCGTGCCCTTTGAGTCACCCCGTCGGGATGGCCGATTTGTTTGACAAAAGACACTTGGAGAAGCATCTACGCTTGGCAGGGTTGATCTGGTCCGGTTTGCTGGCATGGAGCATTCACTCAGCGGGTGGCTCGTGGGGCCAACTCAAAACGCGAACGCAACCCAACGGTCAGAATGTGAACGGCAGCAAAGAATTCGATACATGGCACTTACTTTGCGGGACCTCCACCGTCTGATTTAGTCCATCTGCGGGGAGAAAAACAGCCCCAGGGAATTACTGCTCTTCTCACCAAGCACAATGGTACCAAACTCATTTGCTAGCATCACCGTTTCAGGCCAAGCACTAGCTGCAAAGTCACTGTCCGGGCCTGACTTTCAGAAGTTCTAAATGAGGCCATGGGGGGCTGGGGAAACCTCTGAAAATAAGGGGGTAAGGCCCAGATCCTCAGAGGTATTTAGGCACCTAACTCCCCTAAACATAAAGTCACTCTAGTCCATTGATGTCTTGGAACTAGATATGAGCCTGTTTCTAAGATCTGCTTCTATGGACTGAGCCCCCTACAAGCGCTCCCAGGCCCACGGGCAAACGCCCGCACCCAAACCATCTACTTTGAAGCACTGTTTTTATCAGAACCTGACCCTGTTAAGCAGAGACACCCAACAGGCTCCATCTGACTCCTCTGTTCCCCCTTGAAAACAGATTCCCTTGCCCAGGAGCGAAGGCCAGCTGCTACAAAGATCATGCTCTACTGCCTAAATTAGGCACATCATCCCAGGATTGCCTGGCTGCAGTATCTGGCAGTGACCATATCCTGCAGGGCCATCAACAGCAAAGAGGGAAGCACAAGGATATAATCGGATGCTTTTGGCCAGCATGAGCGGGGAGGGGTCTCAGCATAGCAGTAGCCAGCGTACTTCTCCCCTGACCCTTTATCTACACTGGGGATTTTCCATAGGTGAGCCCAGAGCTACACTGGTCTAACCCCCGAGAATAGGCAGGCAAAGCTGCTATAAACTCCCTTTGCACCCAGGCTGCTCACCCCAGTTCCAAGTAAGGAGTACATTGCACCTATGCAAATTGCCGCTGATAGCCGATTCTCTGGTCTATGCTAGGCGTTCTGGCTGGTACAGCTACACCAGTGACTTATCAGTGCTGATAAGTGCAAAGTAAGGCACACTGGAAATAATCATCTCAACTCTGCATGCAAAACGATGGCGTCTAAATGAGCTATTACCGCTCAGGAAAGCTGGGTGTCAATGGGATTGGATACTTAACTCTAGCGTTTCCCACTCGCAAGCTCAAATTGATGATTGGGAAGGAATTTTCATAGGTTTTAAAGCCAGAAAGGACCATTAGTTTCATCTGGCCTGGCTTCCGGCACAACAAGGCCAAAAAACCTCTCTCAGGGATCCTGCATCCAGCCCAGAACTAGGCTAGAGCAAGAGAGACATCCAGTCTTGACTTAAAAACTCCCAGTAATGGAGAATCCACCGCGTCGTGAGGGATTTCCCTCCCGGGGGATATCGGCAGAGACCCGAGAGCAGGGGGATGTTGCCTTTCTCGGCAGCACAGAGCAGGAATGACCCATCAGTTGGGTCAGTTGGTGTTGACAGATTGCCCCGCCGCTGCTCATTCTCCCAGGTGTTGGTGGCCCCTCCATGGCAGACTGCTGGCTGCCTCTGGATTTCAATGGGATATCAAGCCTTTTTCCTCCTCAAAAGCAAGCTGGGTGTGGTTAGCGAAGCCGTGGACCCACACACAGACCCAAGAGAGGGGGATTCTTTCTCCAACCCCATTCCCACTCAGGGATCTCTGGCTACGGCACTTACTTTCGTTCCTGGGGGTCCAGGTCGCAGTAGGTGACGGTGCTGAGGGGATAATGTCGTCTGAAGAACAATCTGAAACACAAGCAGAGGCCACGGTGAGCGCATAAGATCAGCCTCTAGGCTCTGCATCCCGCCTGGAGCCCCGCCCCGCCAGCTCTTCTCCCGCCACGTTTGCATCCTCCTGCCACGAGGTGCGTTAACGAGATGTTGCATCCTCATACGGCCCTGCAACCCCAGCAGGGGCTGAGGCAACGGCGCCGGGCGAACGCGGGACATGGTGACTTTGCCTTGCCATGCCTGAAATAGGGAAGGGGGCAAGGAGCCTTTCGTTGTCCTGTTAGCTGACAGCCGGAGGTGGGTCAGACCTGAGCAAACTGGGCCCGTCCCGGGAGCATCCAGGTACGTGATGATCCTTCCAAGAGCCTGTTCCCCAGGCAGCAGTCTCCCAATTACAGCGGACTGAGCAGGGGTGAGGTCTCAGTTCCGGTCTGTAACTAGCCCTGAATGCCAGGCACTCGCTGTCCCGGTGCATGCACCCTTCCCAGCAGCAGGGGTCAGCACAGCCAGGACTGGGGATCAAATCCTCCATTTCCCACGGCAGTACGGCACCTGACACACAGCACGGGCCTTTTTAAAAGATGAATAGCTCCAAACTCGCTCTTCAAGACACACTCCGAAAAAGACAGCTGGACCCAAACCAAAACCCAGCACCTCTCCTGGGCTGGGAACTGAAATCAAGTCTGGATCGGACCCCGTTTCTCATGTAAATGAGTCTCCAGTCAGATCTGTTTCTGTCTTACCTCCGTTTGGTGAGTCAAAGAAACCCCGTCTCCCTGAGGAAGGCTCCCGAGAGTTGTGGTTAAATGGCCACAGCAGCTGTATCCCACCCCCAGCCCAGCTGTCCCCCCACTGCAGGAATCTATGGTACTTACCTGACCCCCTGCTCCCATGGTGTCTGAATGTCTCCTACACCCATAGGAGATGGGACAGTGCACCCGCTCCCCCTTGTACCAAGTGGGAGCTGAGACACTGAGAGTAACGGACTTGCCCAAGGTCACATACAGAGCCTGGCAAAGACGGGAATTGAACCTGAGCTTCCCAAGTCCCTGAATCGCACCCTAACCATTGGGCAATGCTTCCTCCCCAGTCCTCAGCTCCTTCCCAGATCCCGGCTATTCTTCACAGGCCTCCGGTCCGGCCCTCCCCTGACAGCCTGTTCTGGGGGCTCTTCCAGCGTGACACCAACCTCACCGTGGATTTACGTCCACAGAAGCTGCCGGGTTCGGAGGGCAAATTCCTGCAGGGGTGGCCAGCCGCCGCCCTCCTACCTGTTCACCCAGCCCCTCCGCAGCTCGTTCCGTGGTGACCTGTGTGTGCTCGATGCCTGGGCGCCCCTGCGTGACAAGGCCCCCGGCGGGAGCTGGGCCCAGGCGGGGCTCTTACTTTCTCTGGTTGTCTGTCAAGGTGATCCCCTGTGCGGAGACTTTGAAGTGCACGATGATGGCTGCGGGCATGGGCACCAGGGCCAGCGTCTCGCTGATGGCTTTGGCGATGGCCTGTGGGCCCGTCAGCGACTCCATCTCCACCGAGTTGATGAAGATCACGTTACAGGCTGGAAGGGAAACACGGCAGGCGTGAACGGAAGGGGTGCAAATGTCACCGACGGGCCGGGCACCCACGCAAGGGCCAGCTCACGCTCGGCTATTGTCCTCCACCTCGGGAACTAAGCTACGGCGGGGGGGCTGGAGAGGGTGCAGAGTGTCGGCTCTCTTGTCTCGAGACCCCCCGCTTCCAGTCCCCAGCTCAGATCACGGGGGAATGTGACCTTTGTGGCTTGGGGCCTGGTTGAGCACATCCCAAACCCTAACACACTGGCTCTCGGCAGTGCCTAGGGCTGGACAAGAAACAGGGGGGTCTGGGGGGCTGCAGGTCAAGATCGAGGGGCATCGGCAGAGCTCTTTCCATGGGGAATCTGCAGGTAGGGTAGCAGCGGGCTGTGGGTCAAAGCGAGGGGCACGGCAGAGCTGGGGGTGGCAGTGTGGGGGAGTCCAGGATGGGCTGAAGGTCAGGACTGAGGCAGAGCTATGAGGGGGGGAACCCAGGCTGAGATACCAGCAGGCTCTGGGGCGTCCGCAGAGCCCTGCCTGGGGGGAACCCAGGACTGGAAAACAGAGAGGGCTGCGAGCTGGGATCGAGGGGCCTCAGAAGAGCTGAGTGTGTCCCCGCGGGGAGCCCAGAACAGGAATAGCAGGGGTGGCTGCTGGTCAGGCTTGAGGGTCCGCAGCAGGGTCCTTTATACAAAACCCTACGGCCAAGCAGCCCCAGGCTTTGCAGGAGATTTGAAATCGAGCTCTGGATCCCAGTGACGGGGCTGGGGCCCATCTCTAATGATGAGGAGCAGCTTTTTGGAACCGCTCCTCACAGTCGTTCATGGAGCCTCACAGCCCCACCTGGAAGGGAAACAGCCTTATTCCCCAGACACTGAGAGGGGAAGCTCGCAGCCAGGCAGTGGCGCAACTGGGAGCGGAACCCAGGAGTCCTGGCACCCCATGCCCTGCTTTAACTATTAGACCATGTTCCTTTACTGAGCTAGGAAAGGAACCCAGGAGTCCTAGCTGCCAGGCCGCACTCTGATCACCAGACCACCCTCCCACCCAGTATATCTGAGCATCGCCTACGTTCAGCGTGACGTTGAGAGAAGCCAAACCCCGGCTATGCAATTCCAGCATGGCACCTGCCCTTCCACTGGGGGCGGGGGCAGAGGTTTGCAAGCCCTCCCTATCTGAATCTTTCTTAACCTAAAAGAACGCCTGTGAGCTGCCTCGTCAGTGCAGCCGCAGGGGCCAGCGTGGCACGGCTGTCCGGTTGGACCCCAGGGCTCCCCCAGGGGCTCTAAGCGCCCCCCCACCGCACGCTTTCGAAGCCTCCGCGCTCTGCCTGCACCTCCGAGGGCGAGCGAAGTGCGTCCGCGGCACACAGCGGGTAAAGTGGAGGAGGCCGCGGTGGAGAACGCCTGCAGAAAGGCGGCCTGATGCAGACGGAGCTCCCCGCCACGCTCCCCGCCACGTCCCGGCCACTCACCGGCTCCCTGCTTGAGCAGGTCTGTCGCCGAGTTGGCGGCTGAGGTTGCCTCTTTCGGTTTGTCCGTGGGATCTAAAAAAACCGGGGAGAGGAAGGACAGTGACTCCTCCGCCACTAGCGGTCTGGGAATACATGCTGGGGCTCCTATGGCCGGGATCTGCGGGGGCGATCGTGTGATGGAGGAACAATGTCACTGAGGAGCCCTATGCACTGCGCTGGTCTCCATGGGAATCTCTACAGAGATACACCCGAATCGGATGCCCTCTCAGTCTAAGTCATTACGTCATGTTTGGGGGGCGGATCAGAACTTTCCCGGGGGCTGGGGGAGTTTGGATCCGGGGGGCTGAGGGATCTGATCCCAAAGAGGGATGGTAAGCTCTTTTTGTTCTGGCATTGTACCACGTCAAGAACAATGGGGTCCTGGCCATAGAATCCTAGAGGCACAGACCCATAGGGTTAGGAGGGGCCACCACGGTCATCTGGCCTAACCCCCTGCCAAGATGCAGGATTTGTTCTGGCTTAACCATCCATCCATTACCCTAGGGCCTAGGAGCTGCAGTCGTGGTACAGGATTCCTCCTCGGCCCCGTGGTAACTCAAATAATACTAATGAGACGGACGGGTCCTGAACATACTATTTGACACACGTGGCTTCTGCCAGAGGACAATGACTCCTGGGCTTGGGTAAGTAAGCCTCGCAAATAAGTAAAGAAGGAACCGAATTCGGAACATCTCCGGGGTCAGACACAGTGTTAGGGATGGGATCTTATAAAGCTTTCCAGTTCCGCCCTGCAGTGCTGAGCAAGGGGAAAAATCCATCCAGCCCCAGTCCCCGATGCATCCCCCATGCCCCATTCCCCTGTGCCTCCTACCTTGGTCGGGAATGACCAGCTTGCAGGGCAAGGCCAGCGGGATGATGGAGTGCTGGTACACCAGAGCAGACAGGCATCCTGGGGAGAGAGCCCGGCAGGGAACACCGTCAGTCTAACGCTGAGGCATTGACACAGCCTGCATTAGAATGGGGACGTTCCTTCCCCATCAGCTGACAAGCCATCCGCTAGCTTCCCCACCTGCTCGCTTTGGCCCCGACTCGGATCCCCACAGTCATGAGCAGCCCCGGTGACTTCACTGGCACTGCTTGAGTAAGGGGGATACTCAGGGAACCAGACCGGCTCTGTGCTTTCCAGTGTCTCCCACCACCCCATGTCCTGGAGTTCACTGTCGTCCCTTTACACGGCAAGCTCTTTGGGGCCTTGTTCTCCCTCCTTTCGGTAGGAGCCAGACATCTGCACACCCCAAGCACAGGGGATAGGGCTGCCAACCCTCGAGGATTGTCCTGGAGTCTCCAGGAATTAAAGCTTAACCTTGAATTAAAGAGTAGAAACCTCCAGGAATATGTCCAACCAAAACTGGCCACCCTAACAGAGGACCCAGCTTTATTGTCATTCCTGGATGTCTGGTTACCAAACTCCTGGTTAGCTTGTGTTGGTGTTTGGAGGGGGGTGTGTGACCGCGCTTGTGTGTCACTGTTAGGGAGGTGCTTTTTGGCCTCTGTTCCAGATGCCCACAGGATACCCCAAATCCAGTCATGCCTGTGGTGATTCCTATCAATGCCGCTTACTCCCCACAAGGGGGCGTCGCTGCCAGAGGGCACTGAACGGTCCTAGGGCTGAATAAGGGAGGGGAGGGTCATTGCCACTTACCAAAGTTGGGCTCGTTGGGGCATCCTTTTAGCTTCACCCCGCGCGGGCTGGTCTCGATCAGGAAGTGCCTCACCAGCTCATTGGTTATATCTCCTTGGGGGGAGAGAGGACGACGTCACTCCAGGCTCCCGGCTCCTCCTGAAACCAACCCCCTTGTGCTCCCTAGGACAGCGGGCTCTGGAGTGGCCTGGCCCCTTAGGGTGAACATCCCTCCTGCCCGCCCCACCCCTCAGTGCACGCTGGGTGATCCAGGCCCCAGGCTCTGGGGGAGCGAGAGCAGAGTCCAAGAGCGAGCTGCCCTGGGCTTTGCTTTCCCCGGGGGTGAGCCGAGGGAGCAGTGCAGCTAAGGAATCCCAGCTGGTGCAGCTCGGCCGGAGAGAGCGTCAGCAGCCAGCCGGGGGCCTCCTTTCAAATCCCCCCCCACAGGCTGCATGAAAGAGGCAGCTTCTGAGCTCCAGGCCCCAGTGGCGTACACCTGGGCTAACTAACTCCACTGACGTCACTGGGGTCACTCCAGTTTGCACTGGGGTGGGTGGGAGGGGAGCCCGGTCCACAGAACACTATTCTAGACAGCTAGGCTACGGCCCAGGGGCACTTGGGACCAGACACTTCATCCCCAGTGCAGAAAGGGCAGCAGCAGAGAGAAAGGGGACCACGCCCCTGGGCTCTTTGCCCACGAGGACACAGAGACATGCTTTGCTGGCAACCCCCGGCCTGGATCTAAGCTCCCATAACTCAGTGGAAAGGCTCCCACGGGCCAGCCGAGAGCTAAACGCCCTGCATCCCAGGCGGGTTCCTGCTGCCTCAGCACATACCCAGCTGCGCTCCGCTGCCCCGAGCGGCCCCGTGCTCAGCCAGCAGAACAATGGGGGGGAAGTACCGTGCGCTCCCGGGGGCTGGCGCGCGGGGGTGGACGACAATACCTTTCTTGTTCTGCTGCAGGATGGTTGGAGGCGGAGAGGCTACTTTCATGGCCAGCCCGTAGGCTCCCCGGAAGGAGTGACTGTCTCGGATAATGAAGGCTCCGGGCTCCCTGTCCTTCAGTAGCGTGATGGCTGGGACGGGAGAGGAGCACAGGAGTCAGGACACGCAATGAGGCAGCTACTGCGCCTCTGAGCACGGAGCAGCTGCCCCAGGAAAGGCAGAATGCTACACTGGGCGAGTTATGCAGGGTAGCTGTAGCCGTGGTGGTCTCAGGACGTGAGAGAGACAAGATGGGGGAGGTCATATCTTTCATTGGACCAACCACAACCCAGGCTCAAGGGGGACCCCATCCTGAAAGAAATCTTTCCTGGACCCCCACTTCTGACCTTCAAACAACCCTCCAACTTCTCCACGCTCATCGTCAGAAGCAAGCTCCCCACAGACCAGGGCACACCAACCGAAACGGCACCAGACCCTGCCGGAACAGCAGGTACAAAATCCCCAGGCATCAAACTGATCGACACCCCCCCACAATAGGCCTTTCAAGATCCATGGGTCCTACACATGCCTAGCACATGTGCTGCACCCCACCCAGTGCACGGCAAGACAATCGCTGCGCTCTTGAATGAACTCACACAGGAAAATGCAAAACACCCTGTCACCTGCGGGAGAACATCGCTCTCGATCTGACCTCTCCGTCCTCGAAGGAAACCTCCACAACACTTTTAAAAGACAAGCCTGCGATCTTCAATTCATAACTCTGCTAGACACTAAAATTCATGGACTGAACAGAGGTGCTGGATTAGTGGTTTATTACAACAATCCGTAACCCACTAGCCCCCCTTTTATGTCCTATGACTGCAGGGGTGTTAACGGGCCACTCTACCTTGAATGGTCCCTTACAATATGTGCTAACTACATATGCTAAACTATCTGTTCCACCTTGCATTTAGCTGCGAGGCTCCAGTACCTTTCCCTGTCTCGCTGGAAAGCTTGTCTCTCTCTCCAACAGAAGCTGATCCAATAAAAGATATCACCTCCCCCACCTTGTCTCTACAATGGGCGAGGCACAGACTTGGGAGGCTCAAATCTGTCCTCTCCTTTGGACCCGTCACTTGATTTGTCAGACACGGCTGCCAAACATTAAGCATCCCCCTCCCTCCATCCCTCTCTGTAGTAAGTGGTGACCATCACCATAGTATCTTGGCACCTGCAGAGGTGTTATTCTTATTTATTATTGATATTTACTGTAGCACCTAGGTGCCTGCGTCCTGGCCAGGACCCCAGTGTGCTTGGTGCGGTACAAACAGAACAAAAATTTGGCACCTGCTTCCAAGCCAAGCATAAGACAAGAGCTGGGTCCAAGCAAAGGGTGAGGGGGACAAGGCCACAGGCAGACAGTCTGGTCGGCAGGATGGGCAGCGGTCGCAGCACTCCAGTGGTCGCAGTCTGAACGTCGGCCCTGCATGTGCCTATTACAGAGATGGGCTCCTAGCGTTACCATCCCCCAAGATCTGACAATGTGGCCTCAGCCCTCTTTGTGCCTCAGTTTCTCCTTGTAAAAAGGAGATCATAAGAATCACCTACTGACCTCCTGGGGCCAATGGGCTGTGAGATCTGGTACCCTTTGAGCGCGTTAACTACTGCCACCAGGGAGTGCTTTAGAAATGTTACTATGCTCAAATAAATTGGTTAGTCTCTAAGGTGCCACGAGTACTCCTTTTCTTTTAGCTGCTAATGAACTGTCCTTTGCGTAATCAGCCAAGGGGGGCGGGGAAGGAACAACAGAGAGAAAGAGGCAATAAAGGTGGTTCTGGGCCAGGTGGTGGGGCTGAGGGGTTTGGGCTCCCACATGTCAATGGAACCAGCATTAGAGAAGGGCAAAGTGAACCTGTCGGTGGCCTGGCAGCTGGTGTGTTGTGGCTGCTACTTCTTATAATTGTCAGGTCAGACTAGAGGATCCCAATGGCCTGCTTTGGCTTTAAAATGCACCAGTCTAGTCATCTCCCTGTGCCTTGTGACACCCCAGTCCCTGGGCTGTATGTCCTTGGGACCTCTCATCGCACACTCAGATTGTCTTTGGGACAGGGATTGCCATTCATCATACACCTGGACAGAGCCTAGCAATATGGGGGCCTGGATCCTGGACGGGGGTGTCTGGGCACTGCCGCAATACAGCTCAGCAGGGGTAATTAACACGCCAAGATCTCTGCCATGTCACAGGTGTCCTGCCCTGGCGTAAGGAGGCGCTGAGCTCTCCCAAGGGGGATTGGAAGGGATCGAGCAAATGCACCGACACACAGACAATGTCTTTTTATCCCAGCCAGCAGCCTAACCCAGGGGTTCTCAACCAGGGGTATGTGGAGCCCTGGGGGTAGGCAGAGGTCTTCTGGGGGTACATCAACTCCTCTAGATATTTGCCTACTTGTACAACAGGCTACAGAAAAAGCACTAGCGAAGTCAGGACAAATTAAAATTCCATACAGATGACGACTTGTTTACACTGCTCTATATACCGTACACTGAAATGTCAGTACAATATTTATATTCCAACGGATTTATTTTGTAACTCTATGGTAAAAATGAGAAAGGCGGCCATTTGTCAGTAACTGTGGCTGGGACACTTTTGTATTTTTATGGCTGATTTTGTAAGCAAGTAGGTTTTAAGTGAGGTGAAACTTGGGGTACGCAAGACAAATCAGCCTCTTGAAAGGGGGACAGTGGTCTGGAAAGGTTGAGAGCCCCTGGCCTAACTCTTCCTCCAGGCAGACTGCGAGCCTGGGGTGCATTGCAGCTTCCAACGCACCAGCAGGCTGCAAGATGGACCTGGCCCTGAAGAGCTGAAATTTACATCCAGAGACAAACTTTTGTAGCTTCACCTTATTCAAGGTCCCTCCTGTCGGCTTCCCCATCATCTTCTCCTGTGTATCTTAGGTGCTTAGCTGGCCCCCTCACCAGAGTATCTGAGCACCTGACAGTCTTTACTATATTTATCCTCACAACCCCTGCGAGGTAGGGCAGTGCCAATGTACAGATGGGGAACTGAGGCACACACACAATAAGGCCCATGTAGGTATGTAGGCAGCACTGTGCTCGGTGTTGCGATGCCTAACTGACTTAGGAACCTACACCTCATTTTCAAAAGGGATTTAGGCACTTACAAGCCTAAATCAGATTGATGGGCAGTAGGATTTAGGCTCCTAAGGGCCTAAATCCCTTTTGAAAACGAGACAAACAGAAATGGGCTTAATCTGCAGCAAGGGACAGTTAGGTTAGTTACTAGGAAGAACTTTCTCAGGATGAGGGTGGTTCAGAATCGGCTTCCTAGGGCGGTTGTGGGAACTCTGTCAATGGAGGTTTTTAAGACCAAGTTAGACAAACCCCTGTCAGAGATGGTCGAGGTCTCCTTGGTCCTGCTATGGGCAGGGCTTGATGACCTCTCAAGGACCCTTCCCCTCTCCAGGTCTAGGATTCGATGACTTGTCCAAGGTCACACAGAATGTCTGTGGCACAGCAAGGAATTGAACCTGGGGTTTCCTGGGGCCGAGAGTAGGGTCCAAACCATCCTTCCTCTCTCCCATTACCTGCCACTTACCCACAACCTTTCCCCCAGGAGCCACTTCCTCAGACAGCCCCATTGTCTCCTCTTGCCTGAGCCTCCAGCAGAGGTTCCCTTGGGAACAGGTCTGGGATAGACTGTGGGGTCATTTCTCGGCTGCAAGGAGCGGCTCTCAGAGGGACCGGGAGGGGAGATTCCTAGCCAAGTGCAAACACTGGCAACATTGCCAGCAGGAACAGAGACAAGCCCTGGCCAGGTTGCTATCCCTCTGCAGGGACTAGCTCTCAGTAGCTCTCGGACTGGCGTCCCTCTGTCATGCCAGTCGGGGGGGTGCGGCAGGCTGGGTCGCAGCAGTGTGGGGAGAATGCCCCCAAGCGAGTTAACAAACGAGCAGAGGGCTGAGACGGGTCGGGAACAGGGCTCCAGCACTGCCAAGAGGATCGGTGATTGGCTGCTGGCAGAGAGGAGTGGAAGAGCTAAGCCCAAACACAGGTGTGAGATCGGGAAGTGATTCCCCCTCAGGTCAGATTGGCAGGCACTTGGGGGAGGTGGGTTTCGCCTCCTCTGCAGCATGGAGCGTGGATCTCCTGCTGGGGTCATCTGGGTGTATCTCACCAAATCCATTCCCTGTCATTGCCCCCAGTGCACTTGGGCCTGCCTGCTCTCTGCCTCTGGCACACAATGGGTCGGTCTCTTGCGGCTACTTGGGTCTAACCCAAGATCATCCCAAATGTCCAGAGTCACCCAAGCAGCCACAAAGTGCAGATACAACCACCCTGGGCGGATGGGATCCCTGGAAAGAACCACGGCGCGATAGAGACGCCCATCTACCAGGGACAGCCCAGGCAGGATGTGGGCAGCCATAACGCCAGGATGTGGGCAAAATGACCCAGGACCAGGATAACCCACATGGTTCTCAGAACCAGCACATGCGTGCACACTGATTCCCAATTCCCATCCCCCCGGCTGCTGCTTTGTCACTGGGGCTGGCTACTCACCCTGCTCCCGGGAAATCTCTGGCTTGTACCAATACTTGGATGTGTCCTGGACAAATTTCACGTTGGCCCGCGTCTCGGGGCTGCTGTCTGAGAGAGGGGAAGGAGAGAAACAATCAAGGGAAGCATTCGAGACATGTTTATAGCCACTCCAGATTCACAATTCAGAGGGATCTCACGGTGCAGCCCTCCCAGAGAACAGGACAGGAATAGATACTCTTACTGGTCTTGTTTAGCTGCATCTCTTTGAAAGTATAAATATCTTAATCTTCCTTTAACCCTTGTAAATATCCTGACCCCACCACTAATTCCATCTGGAGATCACAAGGGCACCTCCGCTTCCCCGAGCCAGCAAACACTTACGCACAGGCTTCAACTTTCTAAACCCGTTGATGGGGATACTTATATGCTGAGAATTAAGCATGTGCTCAAGAGTTTGAAGGATCAGGGACATACGTGGGGTGATAGACCCAGGCTGGTTGGGTACAGCAGAGTATCAAAAGGCAGATATACTGGCTACTGGATAAGCAGTTTTCTGTTCCCTGACCGACCAGAGCAGGGGCTGCTCCAGGCTAATGAGAACACCTGACTCCAATTAACCTGCAAAGAGTCAGGTGAGGCCGTTAAGCTAATGTGACCACCTGACTCTAATTAAGGCTCCTCTGATACTATAAAAGGGCTCACTCCGGTCAGGCCAAAAAAAGCCAGGGGGCCAGAGGAGAGGAAGTGCGGCTGAAGGGCTGGGTAGTGAAGACAACTTCAAGCCACTGGAAAAGGAGCCCTAAGGTAAGGGTGAAGAAGGCGTTAAGAGAGAGAAGCAGGAGAGCTGTGGGGAAGAGGCCCAGGGAAATGTAGCAACTCTGGCAGTGAAAGGTCAGCTGCCGACAGCTGTTGCCATTCGGGTCCCTGGGCCGGAACCCGGAGTCGAGGGCAGGCCCGGGTTCCCCCCAACCCGCCACTACTGAAACACCTCCTGGGAGGTGAAAACAGGCCCCTGTCAGGACAGGGGTTGAGCAGTGAGTGCACCCCCCCTCCCCCGGCACATTGGAAAGTTGGCACCTGTCGCTCCAGCCCCGGAGTCGGCACCTATGCAAGGAGCCGCAGGTTAACTTCTGAAGAGCCGCATGCAACTCCGGAGCCCTGGTTGGCCCCCCCTGGCCTAACCTGTCAGACGTACCGAGACCGGACGGCTTATGACCTAGGGCGCGCCGTGCTGGCCGTATAAATCCACAAGACCAGCTCTTAGCTGCACTGATTTCCGGGGAGCTACACTGGGCAACACCAGTTGAGGGGTCACCTGTGACAGGCGCAGTTCGAATCCTTTCAGACCCAGTATGATGAAGCAGACGGTGCCCCTTTACAAAAGCCTTCCCCAGAGAGTGCTGGATTCAGCTCTGCCCCGCAGGCGGCAGGGCAAAGGACTATATCCGACCGAGTTGCTTTGACCTTACGGCCTGCAAGCTGTTGTGTTTTTGACATCAACTGTGTGGTGGTTCTTCCTTTGATGCTAGCTCTGTATTTTCCTGTTTTGATTCTGACCGCTAATTTTAGAAGAAGGAAAAGAGGGGGTGGACCTGGGCACCAGCGGTGACTCCTATATATATGTCTCCTGACGTAGGAAGCAAAGCAGATACGCAACCCCTACCATTCCCAGCGGCTCTGTGAACTGTAGGGCACGTGCCTGCAGGAGGTTGTATTGCGGAGGACAGAATCACAGAGCAGCGGTAGGCAGGACAGTAGCGCTGGGACCAGAGTAATAGCGGCCCTCAGGGGAAAGCCTAAAGGAGCGCAGCAAGCAGGAAATAATCTAGCCTCTGGAGGAGGGTGCTGTGCAGATGCCCGGGGATAACAGTGGAGCGCGCCCATTCTGCGGATCGCAGCACGTAATCTTAAGAGAGCGAGCAGTGCGCTGAGGGGCTGGCCAGGACCCTAAGTACATCAGATACCCTGCTGGGTCCCAACCCTAATGTACTTCCCCAGCTAACGGGAGCGCGGCCCGAGTGAGGACTGGGTGAGAACTGAGCCAGGACCTTGGGATTTATACCCAGGGTCCGACCCATTGCTAATGGCAGGTGCAAAGGAGGGGAAAGCCCAAGATCCATTTGATCATTCAGGGGAGGCCCTCTGGTGGGGGGAGAAGCCCTCAGGGGAGTCCGCTCTGAAGCAGGCTGTGAAGGACAGCGCCGTCTAGCTGGAGAGCACTTGGCCTTTGGAGAGAACGTGTCTTCCAGCACCATAGGCCCCCCCACCCCCACCCCCTCCGGCCTGCCCCCAGGCACCTGCCCCACGCTCTAGGGTTCCCGTGCCGCGATGGGCGAGCCCTTACCTGGCAGCGAGAGCTTGGAGAAGTCAGGCAGTGTGTGCGGGTACGCCACGCTGCTCCCGCCGATGGGGCTGGACATGCCGCTGGAGACGGGCGAGGACATCTTGCCATTCACCGTGGCGTAGTTAGGCAGGCTGTTGGACCGCTCCCCGGCCGACATCCTCCTCTTCTCGGGCAGCACCGGCTGCGGCGGGGGGCTGCCCTGCCGGTAGGTGGCGGAGTCCGGGGAGGAGGACTGCGGGCTGCTCAAGCCGGGATAGTAGGCCGGGGACATGGGGAACGACGGAGTGGAGGGGGGCTGGTACCCCGAGGCGCTGCTCTGCCGGGACAGCGTGTGGGGCTGCTCCTCCGGGGTGGAATAGCCGTACATGATGTGCCTGTCCATGCTGGGGCTGCCGGCCATGCCGGGTGCACCGCCTCCCTTCGCGGCCTGGTGCCTACCGAGGCTCGGGCTGCCCGGGGTCCCAGCCAGGTGGGTGCCCATGGGGTGCCTGCCCAGGCCGGGGCTCCCGGGAGCGGCTGCCATGCCAGGATTGAGTGCTCTTCGCCCGAAGCCGGGGCTCGGCGGCGTGTTGGTGGCCACCGTCCTGTGAAGGGTGTGGGGGCTCCCCGGCAGGACGTGAACACCCACCACGCTGACCTGGGGCTGCGACCTCGTGTGGGCGTCTTGCTGCGCGCCGGCTCGGCCATCGGGGTACTCGGGGCTCACGTAGAGGGAGCCCGCGGGGCCCCCCTGGCTGAAGGACACCGGCGAGGCGTTTTGGTAGCTGCTGTGTGCCGACGGCGCCCGGGAGCTGGACTCGGCCGAGGGCCGCGGGGGCATGGCGGTGCTGTGGCCACTGCTCTCCGACGGGTAGCTGTGGATCGACACCCTGGGAAAGGCAAGGGACGAGCTCAGCTCGCACTGCTCCATGCCAGGCTCACTGCTGCCTGAGTTAGTTATTGGCCTCCCTCTGGTGCACATCACCGTACCCTCAGGGCAACTCGTGTAGGTCAGTCACCACACCACACCTGAGGCACTGGGAAAGCAAGACCCAGATCCTTAAAGTCCCATTGATTTCAGTGGGAGTTAAGTGCGTCAATACCGTTGAGGATCTGGGTGTGAGTGACTTGCCCAAGGCCACCCAGGAAATCTGTGGCAGAGCCAGGAATCAAACCCAGACCTCCCAAGCCCCACTTCAGTGTCCGAGCCACAAGATCACCCTCCCTTTGCTGTGGAATTGGCTCCGTCGGGCCCCAGGTGCTTGTGCCAAGGCCCCATTTTCCAGCGTCCCAGCTTAGCATCTGGCTGCAAACTGCTGTCGGTGCGTGCCCACACCAGACCTGCCTTCTGGAATACCCACCGGCTGGCTGGAAACACAGGTAGGCGCAAAGCAGCCATTTGCCAGCACAGCAGCCTAGGTGGGAAGCTTTGAAACTTTGTTCCTCTGTATCTAGCCTGAAAGCCCAGGTCTGCCCCTGCCCAACCCAGCAGCACTGTGCCATCTTGAGGCAACAGGAGGAACTTTACAACCCAAAGGATCCTGCAGAGTATTAGACAAATACATCACGATAGTACAAGTCAGAACCAGGTCCCCGAAGATTCAGGTCCCTAACTTCCACTGATGTCAGAGGGCGCTAGATGTCTGAATAGCTTTGAAAGCATCTAGAGAGCTCAGGCCCAGATCCTCAAAGGAGAGTGTGTTTCCTTCTAGCGATAGCACAGATAGGGAAACTGAGGCACGGAGCAGCCAAGTGACCTGGCCAGGTGACACAGTGACCCAGTTCTCCTGACTTCCATTCCCCCCGGCCCTGTCTACTGGATCATGCTGAAACAAACGATCGACAGCTAGACACAACACTGAAATGCAGCCATCCTGCCCCTCTGTCTACTGAACCTTCCCCTACAAGGGCAGGATGCTTCCGGCAGGGAAGCCGATGCCTACGTACCCCTGCTCTCTGACTCTGTCTCCGGTCGGCAAACAGCTCAGCCCGTGGAGGGAAGAGAGAGCAGAGGGGGCTGCTCTTCTCTGAGTCTATACGTGATGGGACTGATGCCCAGATGCCCTGGTCATGGTGACACCTTCCGAAGAAATTCATAATACCATGCAGCTCAGCAGGGATGACCGAACTGCAGAAGGAACTAGGGCAGGAGTGGGCAAACGTTTGGCCCAAGGGCCACATCAGGGCATGGACATTGTATGGCGGGCCATGAATGCTCACGAAATTGGGGTTGGAGTGCGGGAGGGGATGAGGGCTCCGGCTGGAGGCACAGGCTCTGGGGTGGGGCCAGAAATGAGGGATTCAGGGTGTGGGAGGGGACTCTGGGCTGGGGCAGGGGGTTCGGGCATGGGAGGGGGTGAGGGCTCTGGCAGGGGGTGCAGGTTCTGGGGTGGGTTGGGGATGAGGGGTTTGGGGTGTAGGAGGGTGCTCCGGGCTAGGCCAAGGGGTTCAGAGGGAGGGAGAGGGATCAGGGCTGGGGCTGTGGGTTGGGGTGCAGGAGGGGATCAGGAGTGCAGGCTCCGGGCTGCGCTTACCTCCTCAAGCAGCTCCTGGAAGCAGCGGCATGTCCCGCCTCCGGCTCCAATGCGGAGGCGCAGCCAGACGGCTCTGCGCGCTGCCCCGTCCGCAGGCGCCGCCCCTGCAGCTCCCATTGGCCACGGTTCCTAGCCAATAGGAGCTGCAGGGGTGGTGCTTGGGGTGGGGGCAGCGCACGAAGCCCTCTGGCTGCCCCTACGCATAGGAGCCGAAGGGGGGGACATGCTGCTGCTTCTGGGAGCCGCGCAGAGCAGGGCAAGCCCCAGACCTCGCTCCCCAGTGGGAGCTAGAGGGCCGGATTAAAATGGCTGGTGGTCAGGGCCTTAGGTTTTTGTGTCCTGGGTTCCCCTGATGCCTGGGGCACCGAACACCAACTGATTGGTCAGCCGGGCCTGAGCAGTGACCAACCCACCATTGCAGCCACGCACCTGAGCGTGTCCTCGGTCAAAACCATGCAGCCCCACATGGTTCGCAATGAGCCCAGCAGGCTCTCAGGGGGAACACCAGGCGTGCAGGAGCAGCCGCTCCAGGGGACTTTTCTCAGGAGTCGGTCAGTCGTTTGGGACCTGATCCTGTACAATGGCTTGGTGCTGGGCACCCCCAGAGCTCACTGGCTTCGGAGGGAGGCCTTGGGGCTCAGCACCGCCCGACAGGGGGCCTTTGGACTAATCAGGGTAAGTCAGAAAGGGGCTCTGTGCATGGCGGGCGAAGGGAAGGAAGGGCTGTGAGTCCTCCTACTCCCAGAATGGGGGTTGCTGGGGTCCGAGGGCTCGCTGGGGCCCTGCCCACCCACTGGGCATGAGAAGTGTCTATCCCAGCCCACTGGGAGAGGAGAGGAAGGGGTTAGCTAGGGCCAGGGTGTGACGAAGCGGGACTGTTCTTAATGTTTCCTCTGAATAATGTGGGGGTGCCTCAGTTTCCCCTATGCAGTTCTTAAGTATCTAGGGGGTGGGATAAGGGTGTATGATCGTTGCAGAGCCCTAGAGGGCAGGTATGTGCAGGGGTCTGGACACAGAATGGCCGACGCCCTGTTTCCTGGCCACCGATGGCCTGGGCCCTTCCCCCTGCCAGGTGAGAGCTAAAGGGTTGGAGAACAAAGGAATCCGGTGACCTCCTGGCCCGGGAAAGGGACAAAGCCCAGAGGAGGGGGGGCTGGCAGGACTATCAGTTGGGGGCTGGCTGGGGACATGGAGTGAAGGGCAGACGTGGTTGTCTGGCTCACTGCCCCCTACAATGGACCCAGCTGAGGGGTCCTGTTCTCTGCACCTACAAGCTCTGTGTTAGACCATGTTCCTGTCGTCTAATAAACCTTCTGTGTTACTGGCTGGCTGAGAGTCACGTCTGACTGCGGAGTTGGGGGCAGGACCCTCTGGCTTCCCCAGGACCCTGCCTGGGCGGACTCGCTGTGGGAAGCACACGGAGGGGCAGAGGATGCTGGATGCTCCGAGGTCAGACCCAGGAAGGTGGAAGCCGGGTGAGCTGTGTGTCCTGCAGCCAGGCTGCTCCCAGAGAGGAGACTGCCCCAGAGTCCTGCCTGGCTTCGTAGGGAGCAGTTCCAGAGCATCGCCCGGGGACTCCGTGACACAGGGTGACAGGAGCAGCCTTTCAGACGCAGGATGGCCCCCTGCAGCACCCAGTCCCCGCAGCTCCATCCGGCAGGGAACAGCCAGGAGCAACAGCAAGCCCGGGGCGCGAGCTGCGAGGGGGCTGAGCCAGCGGACAATCCCCACTCCCCACGCTGCACTGCCGCCAGATCACACCCGTGGACACGCCTTCCCGATCACACCCGCGGACACGCCCTCCCAATCACCCTCCTGCACACACAACCCTACATGCGTGCACACCACATACCCCGACACGTGTGCACATGCAAACCCCTCATGCGCACACACCCCACACCTCCCAAGCGCACACGCAACCACACATCCACCCCTGTTTCCCCTACACACAACCAGCTACACCCACCCCCTCCCCACACTGTCTTGTACACACCCACCCTCTCTTCGACCACATCCTCATTCATGCACACAACCCCCCTCAAACCCACACAACCGCAGACCCTCTCGAATACACACGGGAAAAACCTTACACACACACACACACCCTTGTCCCCCCAAACACACTCTCCCCGCCACACCCCCATGTACCCCTGGACACAACCACCTACACACACACACACACACACACACACTTCCTGACCCCTGTGGTGACAGCTGACACCCTGAAGCATGAGAATGCACAGCTGCAAACTGACCACAGCACGGCCCTTATTCGTGTGACCCAAGTCATTGATGGGCGTGTTCAGGTGAGGAAGGGCTGAAGGGCAAAGCACTCCTGGAGTTAAACCCAGCACTATAGCGGTCCCCAGTGCCCGGCTCTCCTTACCCGTCCATGCTGTGAATGGGGCTGCTGGTGGAGATGGGGCTGGGGGAGGTGAAGGAGTTCATGAAGGCCCCGTTCCTCATTGGTGTCTCAGTGCTGTAGGCCTGTGGAGTTGGGGGGCTCTGGGGCGTCCCCCCGCCCCCCGTCGCCGCCTTGCGGGCCACCGACTCCACATAGGTCCTGGAACCTGGGGGGCAAAAGGAAAGGAAGGGTGAAGCTGGCAACTGACCCGGGGAGGTCGGCGTGCATGTGCCCTTTGGCTGCAGCTCAGGATCGGGGCCGATCACAGCCAGGGCCCGAATATCAGTCACCCCGTTTCAAATCGATAACCCCGTCGCGGCCGCGACAGCTGATCTGAGAAATCCACTGCATCCCCATCATCCCACGCCAAGCAATGAATGAAATCCCCCCACCTCCACCCAGATAGGGCGTTGCCAAAACAGATGCAACGTGTGACACAGCCCCCGGCCCCCTCTGAATCGTCTTCCCCGTCATTCCTCCCTACATGAGTCTTGTGCAACACACCGCTTCGTGCCTGTTACACATTGCAGGCACCACTGTGCCCATGAGAAGTCAGTCCTCGTCATCATTTAAAAATAGATCCTTTTGAATCACCCCCGCCAGACATGCAGCTGGCTAAGCAGAGTTACTGTATGACTGGCCGTAAGTAACCCCTGTCCCACCTCCCTGCACACTGGCTCACTCCTAAAATGAGACTGTGACTCCACCAGGCGGGAACGGTTTCCGCTGCACGCCCAGCATGGGCTGGAGAAATCAATCACACGAGGTGTCCATGGCAGACAAAACCTGGTGTCTTTTTAAGGTGCAAAGCCCAGCTGCGGCCTGGCAGCTTGGGAGGTGCCTTCTCAGACAGGGGGCGCCTTAATTTAGATCCAGCCAAACTGAACTTCTTAGTCTACACGGGAGCTGGCAGTGTAATGAGACAGACCCAGCTCGAGTTTAGACGTACCCTCGTCCCCCAACCTCAAGGCATTTATCTCCAAGTATGTTCACCAACAGAAGTATGAGCTGGATCTAATCCTTGTATCCACCTTCCCAGGGTTACCCCGAATTTGCCCTCTTGGGCCCGCAGTGAAATGGACTCTCCCATCTCTGCATCTCCAACCCCCAGCTTCTCTCTCTTACAAGCCGCAGGTGAGAAAAAGCAAACAGGAGCCACCATCTGACCAGGCAGTTAAAGACTCCCCCATCTCTGCCCACTGCATTGCTGAGGATGATCTCAGCCTGTCACGCCCACAGGGCTGGTGCCTCAGGACGGCCTCGTTCCATTTCTGGAAGCAGCTGGGTTCAGTGTCTGGTCTAGCGTAGCTGCGGTGTGTCCCGAGAGCACCGGCAGGGGGAAGGATGGGCAGGCCCTTGGGGTGCACTGGTGCACGCTGGGGGTGAAGTGAGATGGCTTCTCTGAACCCCAAGAGGCAGCAATGATCGTCTCGAGAACCGAAACTCACCACTGTGTCGAACCATGAGCCCAAGTCGCGGCCGTTCTGCCGGCTGCCGCAGGAACATGCGTTGCCCGGCAATCCGCGGGACGGCCGCAGGGCAACCATCTGCAGTGGCCCAGCTCCATCCTCTCAAACAAAGGTAACTCCCACTGATGAGGGGAGAAACCTTGCTACAGCCTCCCATCCTTCCCACCCCATCGCTGCGTGGCAGGAAGGATGGCAGAGCCGGTGCTCTCTACGCCCGGAGGGGATGGAACCCGACAGAACTAGGCGGCTTTCCGACACGGCCGGTGCAGGGCAGGACAATGCTCGCCAGGCCCCTCTCTTTGGACCCTGCGAGCCACGAACCCGCTGAGCAGCCACTGGCCCGGGTCACCCCCGCGGCAAGCCGGGCGAGCTGCCCTCCAGGGCCCCGCGCCCGCCCAGACTATCGGCGATGTCCGCGACGTCAGCTCCCCCGTGGGCGTAAAGCAGCGTGACACTGACCTCAGTGGAGCAACGCTCATTTACACCAGCTGCAGGATCTGGCCCCCCAACATGTAGAAGCCGGGCACATTCGGAGAGAGCTGACTAACCGCCCTGCAGCGCGCTCGTTCCCCAGACGGCAGCAGAGTCGTCGCCTAGACCCCCCGCGCCCTGCCAGCTCCGGATGCGGTCACCCTGCTCAGACAGCCGCACGGTTTCCAGGCTTTAGAGACCCGTCCCCCTTTGCCCCCCGGAGGCGGTTTCTCAGAGACTCTTCCCAGAGCTCTGGGCCCTCCCGCTTCAGCCCCACAAGGCTTCCGTCTCCTACCCCCTTCCACACTCACCCCATTCCTCCTCTGCCCCCTGCCCGGCTCCCCCTTTGGCCCCAATCCCCCCGGGTATAAACACCCAGTTCTTGCCTGCATCCCTTCCCCCCACCTTTGCAGCCCCCACTCCGAGGAGAAGGCAACGAGCCCTGGGATTGTTCCTGCTTTCCCTAACAGAGGCGCCCCATTCTCATGCTCCCTGCCTCCCTGGCTGTCTTACTCCCCGCCTGCCTGGGGGACCTTGCCTTGACCCTGCCTTCACCCGGGCGGCAGGGCCGCACCGTGGCCTCGTCTGAGTGCGTGAGCGAGTCCAGGAGGCTCGGGAACCTTCACCCTCTGCCTCCCGCCCGTCCTCGCCAGTGGGATCCCTCTCCACTAGCCCACAGGCGGCTCCTGCGAATGCTGTCCATGCCCCATCAGGGCCTGGCGTCACTGTGGGCTGGTGCCAAGCTGCCTTCCCGCTTCTCCCGGCCAGCACCCAGCGTGAATTTCTGCCTCTTGCTGAAGGAAACGAGGTGCGGGGGAGGGTGTCATACCAGGGACCCATATGATGTGAGTGGCACTGCCCGCAAAGACCTGAGATTCACCCACCAGCCGGCCTTGCCTCCTTGTCTCGCAAAGCCATGTGTCTAGCAGCAGGGCTTTTTCAGCCTTTCCATTCCGTGAGCGACTGCATCAGAGACCTCCCTCTTCCCCTGGACCCTTCTCCCCTCCTACAATTCACTGGAGGAGCCATTCCCGCGTAGGCAAGGCCGGGGGTAAGATAACCCCAGAGATCTTTGGCATCTCTAGTGCAGTGGGCGGCATACGCAATACACGGCTGGAAATAAAACGGACCCCTACGGTGATTAGTTAATGTCACCGCGGCTCCTGAGTGGCTAAGAAGTGAGCACGCCCTATTATTCTGTCACCCAGTCTCCTCCCCCCCCAGCCATGGTCTATTTGTCTGATCACCTGTAGCCCGTGAGCTTTTTGGGGTAGAGGCTGCCAGGTACCCTCTGCCTGGTATAAGCTCTCCGTCCAGCCCTGCCCCACCCTGCATAATCAGATGGGGCAGGAGCTGACCTCTGAAGGGAGCTGGGCTAATCTTTTCCTACAGAACATTCCAGCTGGGTTTCGGGATTTTCACTGAACCCGGCACTTGGGTCCGCTCGGCCGGGGCCAAAGTGCTGCTTAGGGTGACCTGCAGAATGGGGGTAATACACCTTCCCCCGCTTCGGTCATTAAATCCTGCTCCCTGCCCCGACCAAAATTCGCCAGTCCAAGTGCATGAGTCCGCCTGCCAGGGGTTTGGGAGAAATGGCTGCAGAACGGCAGCGACACAAGGGAAATCAGGGGCATGGGCAAAGAAGAGAGGAGGTGGGTGTGCCAAGTTTGGGGGCAGAAAAGAGAGTTTGGCATATTTTTTTAGATTAAAAATGTAGAGCTCATCTGTTCTGATTTTTCTGCAAGGGCTCTATGGATGATATCTTAAGAACAAAGGAAGAGACACATGAACAATTGAGGGTGGGTGGGAGCTCATTATAACCCCCAAAATGCCAGAGAGACACCCGGATACACACAGGGTATTATTTTTAAAGGGCCCTCAATCCATTCTCTGTCCTTGCAGGTAGAAATTCAGATATTCAGCATTCAGCTGGTCAGATCTGGAGGACCATCCAGTAAATTAGAACTTGAACATCTGCACCTGCGATTTTGTGCTCATAATTCACTTGCAAAACTGGACGTTGACTTCAAAAGATTGGGGGGGGGGGTGTGTGAATGCGTGTGTGCGCGTGTGTTTGATTGTTTGTAAAACGATGCTGTTTAAACATAAATCAACAGTGCACAAATTCAGTGAAGACAGTCTGACTAGAGGACTAGTGCAGAAAAACCTGCAGCTCCTTTCTATTCTAATTGACTATATTATTGGCCAAATTCTCTATCCCATTATCTATCAGGGATTTATCAATGTATCTATCAATGTACACGCGGACAGGAACACAGCTATAGTTTCCATAGTGCCGAGCTAAACCCTGCTTCGCTTTACACATCCGATGAAAACAGTCGCATTCCCATGGGCTCAGTCCCACCCTTCCAGCTGTGCAGCTACTGACTCTCCAGGTGCACCTTTCTGAGTGCCAGGGTGCATCCACCCCAGGGTGCACTTCTGTTAGACCATCCCTGGGCTTTGCACAAAGCACAGAACAAGCTGAACACTTAAGGAGAGTTGCAGGGGCCAGAAGAGAATAGAGAGCAGATGCTCACGCCGATTAAGTGGCACTGCTATGGGTACCCGCATGGCCCCACAGGATGCCAACATTTTTATGGCTGACTTAGAGCAACGCTTCCTCAGCTCTCGTCCCCTAACGCCCCTACTCTACTTGCGCTATATTGATGACATCTTCATCATCTGGACCCATGGAAAAGAAGCCCTTGAGGAATTCCACCATGATTTCAACTATTTCCATCCCACCATCATAGAATCATAGAATCATAGAATATCAGGGTTGGAAGGGACCCCAGAAGGTCATCTAGTCCAACCCCCTGCTCAAAGCAGGACCAATTCCCAGTTAAATCATCCCAGCCAGGGCTTTGTCAAGCCTGACCTTAAAAACCTCTAAGGAAGGAGATTCTACCACCTCCCTAGGTCACGCATTCCAGTGTTTCACCACCCTCTTAGTGAAAAAGTTTTTCCTAATATCCAATCTAAACCTCCCCCACTGCAACTTGAGACCATTACTCCTCGTTCTGTCATCTGCTACCATTGAGAACAGTCTAGAGCCATCCTCTTTGGAACCCCCTTTCAGGTAGTTGAAAGCAGCTATCAAATCCCCCCTCATTCTTCTCTTCTGCAGGCTAAACAATCCCAGCTCCCTCAGCCTCTCCTCATAACTCATGTGTTCCAGTCCCCTAATCATTTTTGTTGCCCTTCGCTGGACTCTCTCCAATTTATCCACATCCTTCTTGAAGTGTGGGGCCCAAAACTGGACACAGTACTCCAGATGAGGCCTCACCAATGTCGAATAGAGGGGAACGATCACGTCCCTCGATCTGCTCGCTATGCCCCTACTTATACAACCTCAGCCTGGTCCAGTCCACACAAGAGATCCACTTCCTGGACACTACAGTGCTAATAAACGATGGTCACATAAACACCACCCTATACCGGAAACCTACTGACCGCTATTCCTACCTACATGCCTCCAGCTTTCACCCTGACCACACCACACGATCCATCGTCTACAACCAAGCTCTGCGATACAACCGCATTTGCTCCAACCCCTCAGACAGAGACAAACACCTACAAGATCTCTATCAAGCATTCTTACAACTACAAGACCCACCTGCTGAAGTGAAGAAAGAGATTGACAGAGCCAGAAGAGTTCCCAGAAGTCACCTACTACAGGACAGGCCTAACAAAGAAAATAACAGAATGCCACTAGCCGTCACCTTCAGCCCCCAACTAAAACCCCTCCAATGCATTATCAAGGATCTACAACCTATCCTGAAGGATGACCCAACACTCTCACACATCTTGGGAGACAGGCCAGTCCTTGCCTACAGACAGCCCCCCAACCTGAAGCGAATACTCACCAGCAACCACATACCACACACCAGAACCACTAACCCAGGAACCTATCCTTGCAACAAAGCCTGTTGCCAACTGTGCCCACATATCTAGTCAGGGGACACCATCACAGGGCCTAATAACACCAGCCACACTATCAGAGGCTCGTTCACCTGCACATCCACCAATGTGATATATGCCATCATGTGCCAGCAATGCCCCTCTGCCATGTACATTGGTCAAACTGGACAGTCTCTACGTAAAAGAATAAATGGACACAAATCAGATGTCAAGAATTATAACATTCATAAACCAGTCGGAGAACACTTCAATCTCTCTGGTCACGCGATTACAGACATGAAAGTTGTGATATTACAACAGAAAAACTTCAAAACCAGACTCCAGTGAGAGAGGGTTGAATTGGAATTCATTTGCAAATTGGATACAATTAACTTAGGCTTGAATAGAGACTGGGAGAGGCTAAGTCATTATGCAAGGTAACCTATTTCCCCTTGTTTTTTCCTACCCCCCCCCTTCCTCAGACATTCTTGTTATTTGTGCTGGAAATGGCCCACCTTGATTATCATACACATTGTAAGGAGAGTGATCACTTTAGATAAGCTATTACCAACAGGAGAGTGGGTTTGTGTGTGTTGAAAAAAAAAGGGGTGGGGGGGAGAAAACCTGGATTTACGCTGGAAATGGCCCAGCTTGATTATCATACACATTGTAAGGAGAGTGATCACTTTAGATAAGCTATTACCAGCAGGAGAGTGGGGTGGCGGGAGAGAAAACCTTTTGTAGTGGTAAACACCCATTTTTTCATGGTTTGTATGTATAAGAACATCTTCTGTATTTTCCACAGTATGCATCCGATGAAGTGAGCTGTAGCTCATGAAAGCTCATGCTCAAATAAATGGGTTAGTCTCTAAGGTGCCACAAGTACTCCTTTTCTTTTTGCGAATACAGACTAACCCGGCTGTTACTCTGAAACCATTCTAAACGTAGTTGGGGGAAAAAATGTGGAAAATTTCAAAACTTTGTTAGTTTTGCATTTTTGCACTGGGTTCAAAAAACAGACTTTTTTCCATTTCCCAAATTTGTGGGCACATTTTCCCCCCTCTTTTTATCAAAAGCGTTATTAAAAACGTCACCAAAATGTTCCATCTGTGAAAACTGGTTTTGGGGAAACAGAAACTTTTTCAAAATGTATTAGGAAAAAAGGCACAAACCCCACAACAGACTGACAAAATCAAAACCATCGTTTTTTGGGGGGAAGGGCATTTTTCTATCTAAAATTTTTTCTTTCAAAAAAAGTCAACTCGCTCAGCTAATTTCTTCCCCGCGGCAAAAGCATTGGTCCTCTTTCAGGAGCCAGAACATGGTAGGTTTTAAAACACAAATTATCTGAGTCATGCAGAAAATGGGTGAAAGAATGTTGTAATGGTTAGGCAGTATTGCCAACCCAAAGTGTTCAAAACGCATGAGTCAGACCCTAAACCCCATGAAATTGGCTTAAAAAGAACTCAAAATGTATTATTTTAAAAAATCTCATGTCTTTTTTATTTCCTTTCTAGTATTGAACTGTAGGGATCACAGTTCAACCTGGTCTACAAAACAATTGTGATAAAAATGAAGACGTTTTCATTTTCATCCAAATTTTTCTTCAAAAGGATTTTGGGGTTATGTCAAACCACCGAAAACCTGAAAAATCAAACATTTGTCTGTTTCTGGCTGAAAAGAATTCAGCCAAACTCCCAAAATATTCTGGTTTGGGCTGCAATTTTCCCTTTTTTTAAATGAAAAATGGGAAAAAATGGTAGAAAAAGGAGATTAGCCACAGAAAATGCCATTCTGACCAAAAAAGTCATTTTCTTGTTGAAAAACATTTTGAACAACAACAAAAATTGCAGCAAGCTCTCCCCACGTTTTTAGGCTTTTCTCTGCAGCCATAAGGACCAGAAACTTTGTTTTTTAATTAGAGCTGAAATTGTCCTGTAATCTCCTGACTCCAAGAACTGGGTCTTTAAGATAAACACCACGATAAAGATTTGTGGTACAATCATGAGAGGTTGCCAAGACTGCTTTGGGTGCAACAAAAATGGACAGATTCTTATGAAACTCCCCAGAGAGGTCCAGACAGGACTGAAATACATGCAAAAAACTCAGCCCAAGGAGTAACTCAGAAGTGACTGAAAACAGAGATTCTGAAGGAAAGTGCCATCTCAAACACAGCATCACCATCCGGCTGCAACACATGAAGTAGGAAAGCACAGAGACAGATTGTGTAGGCGTGTAGATTCCAAGCTCTTAACTTCTGTATCAACAAGGCGCTTGCTTATGTTTCGTTTGAAGCTAACATCCCCTACTTATAAACACTTGCACATTCTTGTTTGTCATTCCGCTCGGATCAGATTTGTCTGAAAGGCTGCAGCCACCGAAAGCACAAACTGCACCGCAAGTGAACCTGTTCTAAAGCATGTCATGGCATCTGAAATTCATGAGCTCTGTATCTCTGCTTATATTTTCACTCCCCTTGGGTCAGCAAAAGCACAGAGCTTGGGAGTCTTATGGCCTTAGGGTATCGGTCACAAAACTATCTTAATGACTCAGGAGTCGCTGAGAACTGACCTCTGTGAAATCTATCCCTGTGGTCACAATGGGAGCTCCTGGGGGCTCAGCAGTTAAGAAAATGTGGCCCTTTATTTTGGTACCTAAATTGGAAATGAGCTCTTTGAAAGTCTGTTGCCCATGCTGCTCTGTCTTCACTGAGACTAGCTGGAGGGAAGCTAGCTTGGGTAGGCTAGCCCACGCACACCTTTTGCCATGTAGACATAGGCTAAGCCCTACTGAAAGTCAATGGTTCTCCAACGGTTCCACAACCAGAATGTGGCAGTCTGGCCTGGTGGGTAGGACCAGGAGCCATGCCTAGCGGTCAGAGCAGGAGTAGGCCCTGGTGGCGGGAGGAGGAGTCAAGTGAGGGGTCACAGCTGGAGTCAGAAACCAGGAGTCGGGCCTAAGGTCGGAGCTGGAGTCAGGGCCATAGGTCAGAGAACAAAAGAAGCACCTGTTGTCGCAGCAGGCCAGGTACTGCCAGGTTGCACAGACAGCTTCCGGCAATTCCCTACCCACTTAAATAGCATGCCTGGACAAATCAGAGGTCATGGGTGGTGATGCCAATCGGGGCTTCGCGTGGGCAGCACTTCCCATGGCGTGTTGTGCCCCCCAGGGTTTATAACGTGTGGATCACGCCTCTGCTACAGCTGCCCGGCTGTCACCCCGAGCCCTGCAAACCCGGGTTCTCGTCCTCTGGATCCTTACGCTCTGCCGCTGTTGAAGATGGGACTTAGGCGCTTATGAAAATTTCACCTTTCACCTTTTCACACACTGAGGGAAGCATGGACCAAGGTGAAAAGAACAGTGGTCAGCATCACTACTTCCCCATTATGGGGCGTGCGAGAAGGACAGAGAGCAGTGTACCCCACGGCTGCGGCTCTATCTCATGGCACTGTCCTGACTGGGTTTCAGAACGAACCTCTGCAGAAGCCAGTGCAATGATCTCACGGCACATTGATTCACTGGGGTGGGAACGGCATTCCAGGAAGTACCGCCTGCCAGAAGACAGGAAATGATGCGAGAGCACAAGGAACCAAGTGATGGGCAGAGGCTGAAATGCCACTGCTGGATATCTGATCATTTTCCTGCACACTTCAGTTTCAGGCAGCTCTACCTGGATTTATTTGCTTCGAGATTGGCTCCTACGTATAATTCCCTGGCAGGCCGCACTGCGGTACAATCCTGTATGCACTTTTGACCCTTCTGCATACCACACAAATCAAGCCAACCAGATGTCTCAACATTAATGAGCTTAGCAGTTTCAGCTTCTCTTTTTGGCCAAAAGAATTAACATGAATAAAGAGAAAATATCCCTTCTTACCTTCATCAGATTCAACTACTGCCTCCCCATCTAGCTCTGAGGGGGAAAGACGAGAGATGGAGGAGCAAGGCAGGGAAGGACAGACAGTGGAAGAGAAAGGAAACACGGTGATGCAAAGGGAAGAAAGAGAGAGAGAGAGAAATCGATGTTAATGTTCTCTGCTTTTTCATCCTGGTAAATAACTACATGTGTGCAAGTTACCTGAATTGCCACAGAAACAGGAAAGAGGCCCTGGTTTTTAAAGGTATTTAGGTGCCTAAAACCCATTAGTTTAACACTCACCTGGCCCTCAGCACTCACCTGGCAGTATCATTCCTATGGCTTCACCGCTAACCTTTCCCTACCGACAAGCCCTAGGCAGGGAGATGGTTTATGTCCAAAAGGGATGTTGTTATTCATTATTATTCTGATTCCCTCCACCCTTTGAGAAGCCATTGGCCTTCCCGGTTCAGACGGCAGGTCTGGGGCAGGGCCACACAAGCCTACACTGATTGGCTCTCCGCGTGCTGAGAAAACCCCGCTGGGAACATTCCTAGTGCTGCCTTTTTTCCATCCAATTTTTACGGCTGTGCATCGGCCTTTCTGCTGTTAAACTCTCTGCTGCTCCACATTTATAGCCTGGCTGTAAAAAGGTGCCAGTGGCTGAAATGCTGGTGTCTACAGCCCCAGAATCGGTCCCCAAAGGGGCTTTCCCCACTGTAAACTCTAGTTTCTGCTTCTCTCTGCCTGCGATGAGCAGGATAGACACAAGGCTCCGAACATAAAGGAAGCTCTTGAAAGCCTGTGAAGGGGAGGGGTGGTGCTGGTGAGCTGGGATCTGTCTGGATTAGAAGACAGCTCCTGGGCTCTGGTATCCGTCCCCGAGACAGCTGTCAGAGGCCAGGAGAGGAGTTAGAAGCGGGGCCCGGGGCTCCACTCTGGGGATTCACACAGAGACAGCGGATGCTCTGGATATTGTTTTAACTGGCAAGTTGCACTTTCTCTAGCCCTCTTGAACTGCAGCGAGGTGAGAACGCCACATATAGGTGGAGAGAGCGAGGGAGAAAGGAGGAGCGGGAGTGGAGAGAGAGAGAGCCATAGACAGTCAAATCCTAACTACCTTACGCACTCCTTCAGTACAGCTCCCATCGGGAGCAGCTGACCCTGAGTAAGGACCCTGACCCTGAGTAAGGACCTCGGGTGCTGACCCAGACAGAGAGGGTGACAGAAACCAAGCGCTGGTGGTAATGAGCAACCACTCTACCGGACAGCGTGTTCCTTACCTTCTTGAAGCTTGTTGTTTGATAACGTAGGAATAGCCAGCCTGGGTCAGACCCGCTATGTCCAGCTAGGCCAGTGACCTAACAGTGCCCAGTACCAACTGCTTCAGAGGCAAATGCAAGGAACTCCTACTGTATGCAGCTATGGGACAACCTGCCCATCAGGATGAGTGTAACCTGGTTCTAGGGTTGGAAGGGCTCTCAAGAGGTCATCTAGCTAGCCCATCCTCGGATTTTGGCAGGGGGTCGGGCTAGGTGATCCTTGTGGCCCCTTTGATTCTATGACCCCCTGCACTAAGGCAGAATTTAGTATACCAATACATAAGGACCACTTGATGATTACCCTGTTCTGTTCACTTCCTCTGGGGCACCTGACATTGGCAACTGTGGGAAGACAGGAGACCGGGCTAGATGGACCTCTGACCCAGTCTGGCCGCTCTTATGCTTGACAGGCATATTTCTCAACCCCATTGCTGCCACAAGACCCTTCCTCTACTGGCCACAGCCCCTGAGGCACCGCATTGCTGTCCGGCAGCATACAGCTCAGCCTTGGGTGCACATGCCATTGACCAAACCCAGTCAGCCTTAGTGACCCTGACGGGCCGACGTTGCAAATTCAGCCTCAGCAGAAGCCCCTGGAGAAATAAGGCATTCTCAACCTCTCTGTGCAGCAGCATGATTCTATGATTCAATATAGGAGAGAGGGGAATAAGATGCCAGGATGAACTGGCTCTAACTTTCAGCACCTTCTATCTGCAACTGGCCCTCTGACCCCAGCCATTCACTTACCTCCCGCCGGCTGCAGCAGGATCTCGGCTGGGTTATGGGGCTTCAGCCCCAATGCAGACAGCGGGGTCTTGGCCAGGCCGGGTGGGGAGCGCGCTGTAGTCAGGCCAAAAAAAAAAAAAAAAAATCCAACGGTATCAAAAGAGGAATTAAATTTGAAGCGCAATAAATCCTAGAGTCATCTCGGTTGTTACTAAATGTGAGTTTATAGCCTCAGCACTACGTGTCCTACTTAATGACGGTCATTATGTCCTGGCAAGGTGCGTGTGCAACTGGAAACACTTAAGCCCGCTGGCCTGCAGAAACCACAGGAATGCAGGAGCCGAGAGCAGGCCCCCTTATTAGAAGTGACACCTTTGGCTTCTCTTTTAGGAGACGGTGATTCGGCCAGCCCCGATGCCAGCCACGTGCAGAGGGAAACTAGACACAGGGGAAACAAAGAAACCCCCTGCTGATAATTGATGGACAGTTACAGGAAGACGGATTGAGGGGTCCAGAGGGCAGGGCAGGATTACAAATTCCTTTGATGCTGATAAACCCTGCCTGAGTGTGCTGGGAGCCTGAAGGCCTTGCCTCTTTGAGGAGAGAGCACCTTGGCGAGGCCATTAGGGACAGTCCACCGGCAGGAATGACTTCCCGGGGCTTGCAGGAATCCTAACACTGGGCAAGTCTGCAAAGCAGCAGCCCCCTGGCTGGATAACACCGCCCTCCATTGCCCGAGTGCCTCTCATCCAGGGGATCTCAAAGCACCTTCCCCAATGCTCACTGATTAAGGCTCCCTGCCATGGTTAATTGATGACACCTCCCCACCCTATGAGGGCATTTAGCTGCACTCCCCTCATTGGACAGGTTGGTAAACTGAGGCACCAAAGGTAACATGTCCTGCCCGCAGTGACTTGGGAAGTGGCGGTGCAGCTAGGGCTAGAACCCAGGAGTCCTGACTTCCACACTCCAAAACATGAGACCACCCCAGTATGCGTCTGCTGCGGGGAAGTGCTGCAGAGGCTCACTGCTCAATGCACAGGTTGCCAGAGATGCCTCCAAAAACAGCAGCATTTCCTCTGTAGTCAGACTGATATTAACATAAACACAGTGGGCCAGATTCCGATCTCCGTGCCCTAGATCTAAATCCAGAGGGGCTCCACTGACTTCAACCACGATACTCCAGATTCACCCCGGTGTAAACGAGAACACAATATGGCCCTCAGAAATTCAAACCACCATGCTCACAAAACAGCCCCATTACCTAATCTTCCCCTTGAAAAACTAACTTAGGGCCCACACTTTACGTCGAAGCATTCGCTCTAGTTCTGGTAGAGAGACCTAAACGGTGCCCATGCCATGAACTTTTACACATATGGCGTAGACACACATCTGGAAAACCAGCCAGATGTGCAGCGAGACAGGTATCACATACCCACCAGCCTGTTTACGAATGCACACAACACGTGTTCTATAGCTCGATTGCACGTACATATTCTAGAGACAGAGGCCGGTATGTAGTATGTATGTACAAAGGGGGCTGTGTGTGTATGTATATATATAGCATGTGTGCTATATATAGGGTACACATATGAAGCAGGGAGTGATGGAGCAAATAGATGCAGATGTATATGTGAGATGTGTGTACGACAAGTCTCACAAATAAGGCTTTATAGTGTGTGTGTGTGTGTGTGTGTGGCGGGGGGAAGGGGGGAGAGTTCTTGCCGTTGATTTCTATCTCCCTGACACTGTATTTTACCGGCTCAAAACAATTCAGGCTTTCTAACTGGGAGGAAGAGACCTCAGGACACAGAAGAGGTGTGGGAATGCTGCAAAAAGCAAAAACAAGGAGACAAATGAGGCTCCAACCTCCCTAAAGGAAATTTGACACATTCCTTTAGCTTTATCCGCTGTTGCATTTCAACCTTCTGACTTACAGATTCAGACGGGCACCCACGCTGGCAGCGGGAGGAGGCGGGAGAGGCAGGCGTGGAAACAAAAGCCAGTCCTCATGAGCTCACGTTTTCACGGCTGCTACGTTGGTTAGAACTGTTTGCTCAATGCAGATGAATTACTGGGAAACCAAGCAATTCCACGGACGGGCCAAGACATTCCAGCCAAGTGTTACCGCTAATGCACTGAGCCTGCTTGATCGAGAAGCTGGCCAGGGATGAGATGCAAAACACACCCGGTTTTGCACTGGGTAAGGGATGTTGCCCTGAGGGCACATCTCAAGCCTCTACTATTAACCTGTCACTCTGAAATTCATCCACAGAAGGAACTGCTGGCAAGAAGCCCCTGCAGTGTGCTGAGCATTCAAAGTGAAGCCGAATGTCCCCGCCACACCCTCACCCTTCATCCCCAACGGGAGAAGACCTTACCCAGATGTGTGTTTCTCAGGGGAAGGGGTGGCACCAAAGGGGTTAAAAACAACTCTCCTGCTAAACTTGGTGTGTAGCAACTGCAGTCACCAACGAGGGCTGAGCGCAAAACAGATGTTTCAATGCGCTGGAAATTCAAAATAAAAGCTTTGGGGCTTGAACAGAAAACTCATTTTTTTCTAAATTTTCAGCAAGTCAAAAAGTTGAAGAAGAAAAAAAACAACCCTTGTTCCAGGTCAAAGGAAACCCGAAATGAAACGTTTCACATTCAACTGTTTGAAAAGATTTTTCGGATTTTTATAAAACAAAATTAAAGGAAATGTGGAAAGGAAAAATTGAAATGTTTCAGTCAAAAAAACCCTAAAAACCCTAAAAAATAAAATGCTGGAAAAATTCAGAACAATTTGACAAGATTGACGTGAATTTGGGAATGTTCTGGTGTCACCAAATCTCCATCTTTCACCCCCCAAAAAAATTTTGATGGAAAATCTTTGCCCAGCACTAGTCTGTGGCTGTAGGACATCCATACGGGGCAGAGACAGGAGATGTGGAGAATACAGTTTGGGAGGTGACTGCCGTGTTGGAAAATCTCTCCTGATCAGGACCAGAGCATCTCAATCCATTTTCAGCTCCTCTATTCCACTTTTCAATGCACAGGAACATCAGATGTGGCCATTGCTTTTTTCCCCAGTTGCTCACCAATGCATTGTGCTGGTGCACACTGATTCAGCCATGCCCCTGTGGCACCGTGGGACAGCGGCAAGAACCGGTCACAGCGGAATTCACTTCTTCCAAACCTACCACCAAGTTATCAAGGGTTAGCCAGTAGGACGCATGCTTGGCTGGAGGAGTCAGGAGGTCAGAACATGCAACGGGAAGTTCGAGGGTCAGACTTTCCCAGCAACTTGCAAGGACCGGACAATTCCAGCAGCAAAGCAACTGCTGAAACCTCCTTTGCCTGCCTTAGGTTCAGCAGAGCACCTGCATGTTAAGTAGCATCTAACTCCCCTTGTCATTCCCCCTTCCCATCTGCAAATCTGTTCAGGTAAAGGGGATTCACCTTGCACTCGGCTACATGCCATGGGCTCCTATCTGGACATCCGGATATGAACGGTGAATGGATTTGAATGGACAGTGCAACCCCAAATGTGCCTTCTTTAAAGGGAGTGGAATACCATGCAATACACATATGTGCATACACAGCATGTCTTTAGCTAGGTACACGGGGGGAACATGATAGTCCTTAGTTTAAGCTCTTAGAGGCAAGGACAATATTTGCATGATAGGATTGCACAGTTCCGACCGTGCTGGGACTCTGATTACAGCTTGTCCGCGGCGTAGTACAAAGGACTTTTTGGCTTGGTCGAAGCAGATCAGCCCAAATAAATGCTGATACCAACTTTATCCTACTCCTGGCCAGCATGTATCCCATCTCAGGGGATACATGAAACCCTCTTTGGGGAATATTTCAGGGAGCTTTAAAACAATTGCATCGGGACTATTTTTCAGAAACTTCCAAACTAGCTGCCATAGCCACCATGGGTCCAACTGTCCAGGACTTGGCGGAAGCCATAAAAATGGACCTAAAATAGCCTTTCTGTGCACCCCCACACAAAAAATCACTGGTTTAAAATCAACTCTCCCTTCCAGAGCTAGGAGCAGGTGCTGGGTCTGAATGGGAGAAAGTTCCTCCTTCCGGCTTTGTCAGACTGTGAGGGTCACTTCAAAGTGGTGCCATCTCGAAAAGCTGTCACTGACGCGGGACTGATGGAGATCCCTAAACAGCTCTGTAATTGAGCCAGCTGTTGCCAGCTGTTTGGATTCCTCCCCATCCCCCAAAATATTTGCTTTTTTAAAACTCTCGGGAGCTCGTTAGCCAACAGCATGTCTGTGAGACTCACACTGAGCGCAGGGGGGCTGCCTGGGGACAGCTTTCCGGGGTGGACGTTCAGTTTGGGATTCTACACGAGTCCCTCTAAAAAGGAGGGGATCGGCTGCGAAAGTGATCGCTCTGAGTTTAACTTTGGAGCAACACGCTGCCGAGGAAAGCGACATGACCAGAGATTTAGGCCCGGCATGCCGGAGAGTATCCCAAAGCTATTTGGCATCATGCAGCAGCCATCACCCAGAAGACGAAGTGGTGAGAGCCAGGGCTATGTGTTACATATACCATGTGGCATGGAACCCAATTGAAATGGGAGTCTCCTCAGTATACGGAGATAGTTTTATTTTCAGGGTGTTTTCATAGCAGATGGGGACGTGCCCCCCCCAAAATAGGGTTTAATTTTTTCCATCACATGCCCTCAGGGGTCCCCAGGACAGATATATTATTTTACACCCCGCTATCTGTAAAACTTGGCTGTCAAAATGAAATAACAATGAAATCAAGGAAATCTGCAGCGCGTGGAGTGGCGGAGGGTGGTGTCAAGCAGAGAAGAGAAGTGACAGGGAAGGAATTGCCATGGGAAAGGGGTGGAGGGATGAGAGAACGAGAGAGAGAGATTAAATGGCGGCAGGTGTCTGGAATTTGGAGCTGCTTGACCTACTGCTTTTATCTGGCTTTGCTAGAGCCGCCCGCTGGTTCCCACCGCCTCCCGGAGCCGCGGAACTTACGCAGGTGACCATAAGGGGTTTGCGGCGAGACAGGAAAGGCAGGGGTTGGGGGAGAGATCTCACCACCGCTGGAGGGTGGGCTGGTTGGCGAGGTCCCCTCCAGCTCTTCAAAGGCCTCCTTGTAGCTATGGAGATGAGGCTGCAGAAGAAAGCAAGCGAGGCTGAGTCAGTTGTGGAAATAGCAGACCCCAGGCAAACACAGCCCCATTACAGAAACCTGATCCTCAGCCACCCACCAACCCAGGCTCGCGGCCGCTGGGGCTTCATTGCCAGAAAGAACTAGGGACTTTCTTCAGCTTCTTTGTGGGTCTCTGGCAAGCCTCAGCCCCCTCCTCCCACCCCCTGGCAACTGGGGTTGAATGGCAAGGTCCCCCTCCAGCAGGGCTATCCACATTACCACACGCCCCGCTACAAAGCAGCAGGGGGCAAGACCAAGGAAAAGGCACCTCTTTGGGCCTCCCTCCCGGGTTGGCGGCAATGCTGCTGACCACCTCTGGCGAGAAGCTGTGGACCGGCGATCGGGCAGTGGGGCTCCGGGGCGTGCCGGGCTCCTGGGGACTGTTCTCGTACTGGCCGTCACTGGTCGTGCGTCTTCGGCTCGGCGCTCCGGGCTCCTCTGGGGACTTGTCCCGTGACTCCACCCCTGGAATTCAAACACAAGGAGGGAAGCACTCGTTAAAAAGGACGATGCCCAGCAACAGGCTCATCCAGGTTCAAATTCACCCTCAGGGAACCACGTGGCAGCTGGCACGTTGGTGATTTATCTGAAGCACGAGCCACTCCTCACCTGATGACTCCAGCTCCTTGGCATCTTGGGGCTCTCCCTGAGGACTCTTTACCCCCAAACATTTTTAAAGGGCCATCTGTACTGCCTTAAAGGGCCTGCATAAAGGCTAGGGGAGCTGGAGACTTCTGATTCCTACAGGATAGGCACAGCGTGAGCAGGAGAGCACCCTGCCGCCCTGATCCCGACCTGCAGAGAACCAAGGAACGGGCGTGCCCACTGCCAAAACAGCCTTTGCTCTGCGTGGAGACCCAGTACAGTGCTACAGGGCTTGGTGCTGCAGGAGGGGCTTGTGGTCAGAGGAGACATCGAGCAAAAGTTTGTATCGCGTGTGGTCATCAAAGAACTGGGACTCCTTCCTAAAGAGCGAGGCTAGGCTCTGGCATCCTGACCAGGTATTCTCCCAATACCCTGCCAGTTCCACTGCAGACAATAACTCTTCCCTTTCTGCTCTGCATGACTTCTGTGCTGCCCGGACAATCAGAGACCTGGAGGGCTGGGAGGAGGCACCTCGAGAGGTCATCAAGCTCAGCCTGTCTGCGCTGAGCCAGGACCAAGGTGGATGTCAGCGGCATAGAGTTTAAAACCAGAAGGGACCAGCAGATTATCCAGTCTGACCTCCTGTCTAGCACAGGCCACCCACAGCACCCAGCCACCCGCACACCAAGCCCAACGCCCAGAATCAGTACAAAGCTGCCTTCTGCCCAGAAGTGGATGCCTGTCAATGACAGGGAAAGTGGCCTTTGTAACACGTAAGGCCTGATCCGCAGGGCACCTGCCATTTCCATGACTCCAATGGGATGGAAAATGCACCGTAAATAACCATTAATATTTTGCATCTCCCATTCCCATCACACCTGACAGCCTGTATCTCCGTTACACCGCCGCAGGGAGGGTGCTGTCCCCATTTTACAGATGGGAACTGAGGCACAGGGAGATTAAATGACTTGTCCAAAGCCACACTGTGATGGAGCAGGGGATTGAACCTAGGTCTCTCGCTAGTGCCCTAACCACTGGCCCACCTCTTCCCTCTTGATCAATCCTCCGCCTTGCTTTGGAGGCTGCCAGCAGATGTACCAGTTCAGTGCCTGGTTGGAAGGCCATTGCAGTCCGCGGGAGTTTGACTTGGCCAGGCATTGGATCAGGCCGCAGAGCCAGCTGTGATGGTGGCTTTTGGACAGGGAAAAGGACCGAGTCCACAGCCATCAAAGAGAGTGAAATGGACGCTACAGCCATACAAGGCCAGGGAGCCACAGATGGGAGACAGAGCTCAAGAGAGACCCGGGCTGGTTGCGATGGGAGGGCATCCTGAAGGGATCCTTCTGAGCAGAGGGGCCGAGCAAGTCCAAATAACTAAGCCAGGGATGGGCCCTACAGCCTAAGCGTCACCCCACCCCCGCCCCCCATCCACGGGAACGATCCCCAGAGAAGTGCATCTCAGAGCCTGGCCAGGGAAAACAGGTCTCCATGCCAGGAATCTGGAGCACATTCCAGTCCACTTCTTTGTTTGCATCCCCGCTAGCGGCCAGGCACCCCCCCTTTTCCAGCCCCGCACACAGCAGCCTGGCTGCAAAGAGGCGACACCTCTAGGGAGAGGCTTGCAGGCTTTGTAAAGCTGGTGGGGGGGCGCGTTCCAGCCCTTTGGTGGGCTGGGGTCTCCCCCCGCCCATCAGCTCTTCGCTGCGAGTGGCAGTCAGCCAGGGAGAGCACTTGCGACGGAGCGGGAGCAGGCTTTGGCCTGGATTCCAGCCCCGGAGTGCAGATGTCCACTTTAGCAGAGGGGGAGGGCGGCTGTCTCCATGGCAATGACACCAACTAACATGCAGCACCTGGCCCGGGGGGAAAGCCCTGAGGGAAGGAAGAAGCGGGGAATTGCTAATCCTGCCGAGCAATCATCGCATCACGAAAGCAGCAGCCCGCTGTTCTACCAGGACAGGGATCCTCTCTCCATTCTCCCAGACCGTGCACCTCTCCTAATGCTACAAAGGTGATTAGCTAATTAACCCTCAGCTCAGCACCCTGCTGGGAGGTGGAGAAAGACTTTTATGCCCATTCTTCAGGTGGGGAAACTGAGGTACAGAGTCAAGTATCAGAGGGGTAGCTGTGTTAGTCTGTATCCACAAAAACAACCAGGAGTCCGGTAGCACCTTAAAGACTAACAGATTTATTTGGGCATAAGCTTTCGTGGGTAAAAAACCCACTTCTTCAGATGCATCTTTCTTCAGATTTACACATAGGGCACCAGCAGCAGAACGGGCTCCCGGCACCAGCTCGAATCTGCTAGATCAGATTTCTAAAAGGGCCTGCAGGATTGACAAAAGCCCAAGGGATCCCGATTCCAAAGGCCAGGAAAGCAGCCACAACAGTAAGAAAGGTTCGTACTTATGCCAGTGCCTTTTAGCCCAGGGGTCCCCTATGGGTTTCACGTGCTGGATTTACAGATGGACCAACGCAGGAGCTGATGCTAATTTACTTCCCACAACATCCCCAGGCATAGAACTGAGTTCCATGGAACTGCGCCGGTCACAGAGCACTCATCAGCGTGAATAAACCATCAGGATCCAGCCCTCAGCGTGTCAGGGAATGGGGGTTGGATTGTTCCTCCAAATTGCCCAGCATGCTTTGGGTGCATTTCCTCCAGGGTTGGGGGAAATGAGAAAATTGTTTGCCAAGCTAGCGGCAGGCAGCGGGGCTAGCAGAGGGGAGTGGGCTGCACGGGGCAGTGGGGAGAAGCCTGTACCGGGGCAGTGGGGGAGGGCAGCAGGCTGCATCAATGAGCCAGGGAATGGCCTGCACCAGGGCCTTAGGAGGGGATGGGGAGCTGGCTCAAGGCGCATTTACACCCATTTCTCCCTGCTGCCTAGGAACCCCACATTTAGATCCTGTCCAGGCAGACTCCACTTTGGAGTTCCTATGACATTCACCGACGTGGCCCTTTAAAGGGGGCTGCTTAACAATCTGAGGTCCTGTCTGCGCCGTGGGGACATTAAAGCTCCCAGGGCACTTTGTGTCAGTGCTGGGGTGTGGCCCTTGGCCAAACTGTCCCCACCTCCTGTCTCTGTCCTGTGGTGCGGCTGCATTTCAAGGCTGGGAGCCATGACCTCTGCAGAAATAGTTTGCGAAGTGCTGTGGGATCCTTTGGGACGAAAGGTGCTGTAGAAGCCCGAGAGACCGTTACACAGTAAACTGAAAATGAAATCGGTAAGTACAGATGCACCTGCATTGCCCAAAGACATATATGCTGCCCCTGTAACTCACCCTTGCCGGTACCTCCCCCGGCCACCCTCAGCAGAGACACACAGACATATTGCGGCTTAGAGACGCTCAGCACTGTTCTCAGAGCCGGGTAGGAAAGTGCTGGAGACCAGCTGGGGCTGTCTACTGTCCTCTCAGATATACACTCTGTCCTTTCATCAGCCTTGGTCCAGTTTGTCACACACAGCCATTCTCTCTCTCTCCCCTCCAGGCAGCCACCTCATAGACCCTGCCTCGAGGAATTTAGCATAACATTGGGCACTAGAAAATGGACTGAGAACCCCAACTTCTTTCACAGAGGCCTCTGAAAAGCCATCAGGTTGGCCCCTGGCTCTTCCTGACTTCCAGAGAACTATTCCTGAATCTCTGAGCTATGCTGATGCCCCCCTTCTTCAGATCTTGAAAAATCTGCTAACGAAATAGGGAGGAAGTTGGCTGCAAGTTCCTGGCACAGGCTGCTTAGCTACATCACTGAAAGACGAAGCCTTTCCAAGGGAGTTTCTAAATAATAATCACAGTAATGATGATAATCACAAAATCACCACACTGGGGAGATGCAAGAGAGCTGAAAGCTGGTGCACAGCCCAAATGGAGTTGCCCACGTAATTGATGGAGGCTGGAAAATTCCATTAACAGCAACTTTGGAACCAAATTCGCCCATCCAGTCTGCTGGAGCCGGCCGCACGTCGGTCATTTGCTGAGCGCACAGGCAATTTCCAGGGGCAGCGATTGCAGAAGAAGCAACCGAAGCGGAAATGAGACTCTGGGGGTAAGAGACTCATTGTACAGGCTGGGTGGGAGAAGGCTCGTCGTGAGTGGGTGGCGGCACGCCAGGCTTCCCACAGGACCGTGCCCGGGGCGTGAGAAGCTGTATGGCACAGCCCATGCCGTCATCACTGAAAGGGACACAACCAGCTTTCACAATATCACATTTCCAGGGGTAATTTCCTACCCACTTTTGTTAAGTGCCCCGCCGCCCCAAATGACTAGACTGGATAGGAAAAAAAACTTTGTTTGGTGCAGTTAGTAGTATTTTGTGTCCAGCTAGTTAGTTAGGCCGAAGGCCCAGCAGCTTGAAGGTATTTAGGTGCCCAGTTCCCACTGACATCGATACATTGAAACCAATGGGAGTTAGGCACCTAAATACCTGCCCACTGCTGGAGCTTGGGTCTTTAACTCAAGCTGGAACGGCACTTGCTTTTAGTTCAGGAGGCCCCTGGGTCAGCTCCAGCTATAACCAAGCCGGTGACCGTAACGCACACGCCTGCTTATCTTTAAGCAGCAGGTCGTCCCCCTTAACTACCCTTCCACACAACTCTTTGCGTGCTGCGCGTAATGCCTGTCTGCAGGGCTTGGTCACCTCCCCGGTCTGCTTGGGTGACGCTTCTACCCAGCAAAACCCCATTGTCATAGGAAAATGTGACGGTGAACCCAGCACAAACACGGTCTCAATGGGACTCGGGGCAGAACCTGGAAAGGCAGTTAACGCTGCTGCCCAGAATTCAAGGGGACGCTGTCCCTTTCATTCAACGGGCGTCACCCCCTTTCACTGAGCAGACAGCACGGCTCCGTGGAGACGCATGTTGCAATGGGATGATGCCAGG